TGTCCTGTTCCTTTGTTGCTTTTAGGTTTATATCTAATTATCATTCTATTCCAGAAACTTGTCTGGGATACCACACTACATTTAGTTGCCACGTCTCCTTGGGCTCCTCTTGGCTGTGACTATTTCTTAGACTTTCCTTGTTTTTTATGACTGACAGTTTTGAGGAATACTGAAGGTATTTTGTAGAATGCACTTCCGTTGGAATTTATCTAGTGTTTTTCTCATGGTAAGACTGGAGTTACAGGTTTTTAGGAGGAAAACCATAGAGGTAAAGTGCCATTTTTATCACATATTAAGGTTACATATATCGCCGTTTTACTGTTGATGATGACTCTGATCATCTGGCTGAGGTAGTGTCCATCATGCTGTCTATGTGGAAGTTACTCCTTTTTTCCCCCTCCCTATACTGTACTCTTTGAAAGGAAGACACTGTGTATACATTCCACACTTAATAGGTAGTTTTTCTCTACCTCCTGAAGGGTAGAGTAGCTACATAAGTTATTTGGAATTCTGCATGAGAGATTTATCTCTTCTTGGCCATTTATTTACTTATTTATATCAGTCAATTTTCTACTTTGGGTTATAATCCAATACTTCTTTGTTCTCTTGCTCAGATTGTTGCAATTTTAGCCACTGGGAGCTCTGTCAGTTTGGCTCACGTGTTCCTTTGACATAGGCATCAATGTAGGTTTTTTTTTGTTTTGTTTTGTTTTTTGTAGAACTTCCTTACTTTTGTTTTTTGTAGAACTTTCTTACTTTCTGGCATTATAAGAGGCTCCAAGTTCATCTTGTATATTTCATGCCCCAGTACTAGAATCAGCCATTTCTCCAAGGAACTTAGAAACCAAGATCTGGGGCTAGATAATGCTTGTTGTTCCTGGGGTGAAATCTTTTATCTTATACTTTTATCTTTAATTCCTTTTTACTTTTTAAGTTGTTATTTTTTTCTAGTTCTGTAAGCTAAATGCCCAAATTCAGCATATTTTCAGTGTTCCTTTTTTCACAAATGGATCAAGTGTATAATTTTTTTTCTAAGATCTATTTTAGCTGAATTTAACAAGTTTTAATACAGAAGTCTATCATTGTTCATTTCTAAAGGTTATCTTTCATTTTTAACTTTTCCTTTCGACATTTAAATGTTTAGAAAAATTTTTTAATTTTTAAGTGAATAGGTTCTGGGGCATTGTTACATTTTAGTTTTATTACATTGTGGAAAGAAGTAGTGACACATTTTTTACATTTGAGAATTTGAAATTTCCTTTGTGGCTTAATATAGTCAATTTCTTGTGCATGTTATGCATTTTTGAGAAGAATGTATTTTCCCTTATTGGTTGAAGTTCTGTGTGACATATACATTGAATAAACTTTGTTATTGTGTTATTCATATACTCACTTATTTTAGGCTTCAATCTGTTTTCTGAGAAAAACTTCCTATTATATGGTTATATCAATTTCTTCTTATATTTATGACAAATCTTTTTTATGTATTTGTTTTTTTAACATTTTATTTTGAAAAATTTCAAATCTACAGAAGTTTCAGTAATGCTCGTGAGCATCCATATACCCTTTACCTAGTTTCACCAATTCACCAATTGTTAATATTTTGTGCATATGCGCTCGCTCTCTACACACACACACACACACACACACACACACACACACACACACACGAAAAAATCCTCAACAAAATATTATCAAATCCAACAATGTATAAAAACTATTACATATTATGACCAAGTGGGATTTATTCCAGGTATACAAAACTAGTTCTGCATTTAAAAAAGTTAAATCTATCACATCAACAGGCTAAAGAACCAAAATCATATGATAATCATATCAATAGATACAAAAAAGCATTTGACAAATCTAATACCCATTCATAATAAAAACTCAGCAAACTAAAAATAGGAACTTCCTCAACTTGATAAAAAAATAAATCCACAAAAAGCCTGTAGCTAACATCATAATGGAGAGAAATTAGATATTTCTGCTAAGATCAGGAACAGGGCAAAGATGTTCACTCTCACCACTTCTTTTCAAATTGTATTGGAAGTCCTAGCTAGTGCAATAAGACAAGAAAGGAAATAAAAGGTATACTTATTGGGAAAGATGTAGTAAAACTTTCTGTTTGCAGATGACATGACTGTCTATGTAGAAAATATCAAGGAATCAACAAAGATGCTCCTAGATTTAATTGATTATAATGGCTATGAGGATACAAAGTTAATATGAACAACTGAAATTTTAAATTAAAAATATAATTTACATTATTAACATTAAAAAAGAACAGGTATAAATATGTGTTTAAGATTATATGAGAAAAATGACAAAACACTGATGAAAGAAGTAAAAGATGTAAATGGGGAGATAGCCTATGTACATGAATAGGAAGACTCAATATTGTCAAGATGTTAGTCTTCCCAGCTTGGTCTAGATTCAGTGCAATCCCAATCAAATCCCAGTAAGTTATTTTGTGGATATTGACAAACCGATTCTAGAGTTTATATGCAGTAGTAAAGGCCAAATTGCTAACAATATGGAAGAAGAGAAACAGAGTTGGAAGACTGACATTACCTGAGTTCAAAATGTCTATAAAGCTGTAGTAATCAAGACAGTGTGGTACTGGCTAAAGAGTAGAAACATAGACCAATGAAAGAGAATAAAGAGCCCAGAAATAGATCCTTGACAAAGTAGCAAAGCAGTTCAATGGAGAAAGGAGAGTCTTTTCAACAAACAATGCTGGCACAACATCAACATGAAAAAAAGAAATCTAGATCTTACATCTTTCACAAAAATTAATTCAAAATGGATCATAGATCTAAATGTAAAATGCAAAACTATAAAACTCCTAGAAGATAACAGGAGAAAATAATAGATGACCTTGGTTTTGGTCAAGATGAATTTTTAGATACAACACCAAAAGCATGATTTATGAAATAAAAAATTAATAAGTTGGACTTCATTAAAATAGAAGACTTATTCTCTGTGAAAGACACTGTTAAAAGAATGAAAAGACAAGTCAGACTGGGAGGAAATATTTGCAAATGCCACCTGATAAAGGTCTGTTATCCAAAAATACAAAGAACTGTTAAAACTCAACAGTACGAAAACAATCCAATTTAAAGATGGGTAAAAGGTCTGAATAGACACTTCACCAAAGGAGTTAGACAGATGGCAAATAAGCATATGAAAAGATTTAAATGCCCCACACCATATGTCATTAGGGAATTGCAAATTAAAACAACACAGTATCACTACATATTTATTAAAAGAGCCATAATCTAAAACTAACAATGCCAGATGCTGGTGAGATGTGGAGCAACGACTACATATTTATTAAAAGAGCCATAATCTAAAACTGCCAGATGCTGGTGAGATGTGGAGCAACAGGAACTGCCATTGCTGGTGGGAATGCAAAATGGGACAGTCACTCTGAAAGACAGTTTGGCTCTTTCTTATGAAACTAAACATATTCTTACCATGTGATCCAGCAATTATGCTCCTTGGAATTTATCCAGATGAGGTAAAAACTGATGTCTGCACAAAAACATGCACATGGATGTTTATAGCAGCTTTATTCATAATTGCCCAAACTTGGAAATAACCAAGATGTCCTTCAGTAGGTTGAATGGATAAATAAAATGTGGTACATATAGATATTGGAATATTATTTAATGATAAACAGAAATGAGAAAAGACATGGAGGAAACTTAAATGTATATTACTAAGTGAAAGAAGCCAATCCGAAAAGGCTACATAGTGCATGATTCCAACTGTATGACATTGTAGAAAAGGAGAAACTATGGCGACAAAGTGATCAGTGGTTGCCAGAGGTTTGCGGGGCTGAGGGGGTGAATGGTTAGAGCACGGGGTCTTTAGGGCAGTGAACATACTCTGTATGATACTGTAATGGACACATCATACATTTTCTTACAACCCACAGAATAGGCAAAACAAAGCTAAACCCTAATAATGTAAACTATGGGTTTTAGTTAATCATGTATCGATATTGGTTCATCGGTTATAATAAATGCCCCATACTAATGCAAAATGTTAATAATAGGGAAAATTTGAGGAGGGGGAGATGAGGGAGTATACGAAAACTGTATTTTCCAATCAATTTTCTCATAAGCTTAAAACTGCTTAAAGTAAGCTAAAACAATAGGCCTCAGAGTATAAGTATAAAGTTTAAACATGTAAAAAAACACACTAGTTAACCATATTAATTTTAATATCTATTCAGAGTTTAAAAGTCCCGGCAACAAAATAATTTTTTAGCTTTGAGACAGTAATTAAAACTGTACAAACATATATAACCATTACCACCAACATAAATTACTCTTTAGATTGTAACATTCTTTAACAAGGTGAGCTGAATCCTTTGTACAAAAACACCATATTATTTTTATAATGTGCCTTTTGATAATGTTCACAAGATGATACCAGTTACATTAGCATTTGTTACAAAGTCATAAAATACATAAAATATCCAAAGTATTCTTTAAAAAGAATATACAGTACTATGTCCAGTCCATAAAATGGCAGGTTTAAATAGAGTAGTCACAAGTTCAAAATGTCTTATTTTAAATACCAATTTAGAAATAAAACTAAGAAAAAAAAGTACTAAGTGAAATCACTGCTATCGCAGCTGAATGCATTTGCTCTTCGGAGCCCATGTGAAGGTCAGAGCCAAGTCTGATCGCAAAAGCAGCAAGAGTTCGCTTTGGGGAGCCAACTAACACACCTCCTCCTTATGTCTGGTAGGAACACGGAAACGAATATGCTTTGAAAGTCTGATGAATGCACATCATAGTTTTAAGAACTTTCTTGATGTGAAAATGAGAGGACCTTGGCTTGGTTCATTTGGGAGTCACCAAGCCATTGGATTTGGTAGTCACCATGAATTCACAGCAGTTGTATTGGTCAAAATTAAACAATAGACTCTTTTTCTATGAAAATTGGGTGATGTAATTTTATAATTTAAAAATAAATTTATTTCTAAGAAAGACATCCTGCTCAAGATTGTCATTACTATTGCTTCCGTAATTTTAGCCAAAGTAGAAAAACAAATGATAAATTATCATTTTTCTGCCATTGCCAAAGTGGTAGAGTAGAGCCTCAGCCAAATTCAGAACTATAACAGACAGCCCGCAACATTTGTGGTCTACCTAATTGCTATAAAAAAGCAAAGTGAACCTCTGAGGCTAAATGGTAAAATATTAAGTAGTTTAGGCAAATATACAACAAATGAAAACTAAAACATTCTAAACACTTTCTGGAGCCATTTTTTTAAGCTTCTTATTCCACTTACTATTTATTTGTATATCAAATACTTGATACTTTGGCAAATAGTTTATTCAATACTTTGTAAAGTCCTACCCATATATCAGCACTGTAGGCAACGATGCTAAGAAAATGTATTTCTAGGAAAGAAAATAGGAGATGATTTTTGCTCTTCAAGGTGCCCACTATGTATAGTTTTTCCAGAACTCAGTAGAAGTAGACATCTGTAGACATTTCCCAGGGTTAGGGGACTCTATGGAGCAATGCTAGGGGCTTCACTCTAGACTTCTACCGGTGGCCTCCATACTTGGCCACCCAGTCTGTCCTCCCGTGCACTGAGGGAACTGGCTGTGCACGATTCACAATATTTAGATTCTTGGCTGTAGGATTGTAAGTAGGTCCTGAAAACTGCCCCTGACCAGTTTTTGTGTTCCAGTTATATTCTGAAAGAAATCAGAATCAGAAATTAGAATTTTATTTACTTGATAATTCAACATAAAGCAATTCATCCTCTCATGGGAAAAATTAGAATTTATCTTTAAAAGATCAATTCAGTGGTCCCTAAGGGTTTTTTTTAAATATTAAAACTAAAAATTCTAGTGTAGTATTTGTTGACACCAATTAGAATTTTCAGTAGCTTTAGAGCCATTATATCTGGTTTACAGTTCTCACACTGCTGCTCTTTCTTATTTGGGTTCACTGAACTGCCCATCACATTTAAATAGGCAACACCCAACTTGGATGACCAAGTTCAAGTTCAATGGGCAATACCCCCAATGTTATTGACTCTATAAAATTATAGTGTGGTTGTGCCTAAATAATATTCAAACACAGTATAACTAGAGAAAATGTACTTAAAATTGTGAATCCTGTAAAGCTCTGGCTTCATGGAGCTACATAATAGATTTCTTTTTAAATATTAAAATACGGTTTTTAGAGTCAAGAAATTAATTTTTTTTTTTTATTGGGAAAAGGATGGATAACAGAATCCCTCTAAAAGGTGAACCATTTCTAGAATCCTAAACCTTTCATCACAAAGTTTGTTTTATTCATACATTTGGCTAATTAAAATTTTGTGAAATTTTTAATTGTTAAACATTTGTTATCTGAACAATTTTTGTGAAAGTTGCTTGAACATCTCAAATAACAAAGTAGTAAATATTTTCCAGAGAACTTTAATATTTTCAGTCCCTCTTTCACCCCCTCCTCACTTCAATCTGAGAGCTGGGCATCAGGTAGTCTAAGGAGAGACGTTTGATCTTTCCATTTGGGGATTAAGGATCTTTTCACACTGTGTGGTAGCTGTCATTCTTGGATTAAACCCTGAGTCAATTTTGAAATGAGTGTGACCATCTTATATGCCTAAGATAAATAGCTATACTCTACTTGGGTGGTTTCCCTGGTTTTTCTTTATACTTCCACTGTAAAATTGGGAGTGTGGGAGGAAATTGAGGGTCCTGATGTGCTGCCCTCAGCTTAAAGGGAACAAAGCATTAAGCGAGGAACCACCCTGGTGACAGTTGCCCTATCTGCTATTAGTTTGGTTGAGACTAGAGGGCCAAGAGCTTTCCCCTTGGTGGTTTGACAGGCCATTTCATCCCACTCTGACTGGTTTTAAATTCTCAAAGGTAAAGCCAATAACAAGCTACCTGACAAAGGCAGAGACAAAGTGTGTAGATGGGCCAGTTAAGTGCACCATGCTTTTCAGGAACAGGCTTTTAGCTCTGACCCACTGAAGCACAGATGAGCATCAATCTGTTCAATTAGCGATCTCACACATGAGGTCTGCAGGTCCAAATGGTACCATGGGCAGAGGGGAGAGCATGTGGGGATGGGAGTGGAAGGAGGAGGGAGAAAGAGCAGTAAGACTGAGTGATTCAGAGAAGGAAAAGGGAAACATTCTTAAGCTAACACTGGGTGGGAAGTGAGGGGCTTGAGGAGTAAAAAACAGGAACTTTTTTCCAGGTCATGACATAGCCTGAGTTGAGTCCTAAGTGCATTTAAATGAAACTGTCCGGGCCAAGATTTGTAAAACCTTTGAAGGAATCATTTTGCCAATGAGGCAGAAATGCTGACATTTACAATTCCTTTCTTAGAAATAATAGTTTTAGGACTCAAGCACCCTTGGTCAAGAACTTAGTCACTGACAAAGGAGCCCAGATCTCATGGCAGGGCAAGAAATGCTTTTGTGCCTTAGCCGGACCATGCCCTGCACCTGGCATTTAACTTCTTGTAGAAAATGTTTGCTAAAGGAAAACATGTTTGCCTCTAGTTAAGAATTAGTGCCACTACTACATAATGGAGATCATAATAATATCTTCTGTAACAGAGTCAATGGAAGGATTGAGTTAACGTATGTAGAGCTCTTAGAACAGGGCCCCTAAAAGGCAGCTGTATATGAAAGAAGACCTTCCTCAAAGTCCTCGTCGTTACTGTCAAAGCAGGGTGAGGAAGTATTAGGAGGTCTGGGATGAGAGATACATGAAGAAGGAGGAAGAAATTAATTTGGCTTTTCTTCTCAAAATTTGTGGGTGAAGAAGAAAAACAGCAGAGAGGGAGACTTAGGAGAGAAGGGGAAATAGTTGAGTAATTACGGTAATGACCTGGTTTTATTTTCTTGTGGGAAACTGTCACACAAGTGGGAGGACTGGAAGACACATCTCTTACAGAACAGTGTTTTCCTAAGGATTTGCATTGACCACTTGAGAATGATTAATATTTACTTCTTTTTTTTACCTTTCCTCCTATCACCATCTGTAGGAAAATCTGATAAGCAGAGTAAATGAAGAGATAAAAAGTTATGAGAAAGCATTTACTTAAAAAATGAAAACAGGAATATGCATGCTAATCTGACAGAATAACTAATATAAGAAGATCTTTGATATCATAAAAATATGTTTAAAAACACCCACTTTCACCTTCTAACTGCAGGTACTCAGATAAAAAATAATTTAAAACATTATGATTTTCTGCTTTTATATTAAAAATTGCTACTAAGTCATGGCTAATAACTCACTGTAAGACTTGCTTAAAATATTTGAGGCTTTATAAAAATTGCTGTGTATAAAATGTTTATATATTTTGTTTCAGCAGAGATAATGAAGCAGTTCTTTTCACTGATAAGGTAACCGAGTACTGTTCAAGCAGATCTACTGTGATAAGAAATAAATACAGAAGTCCAGTATTTTTATAATTTTAGCTCCAGCAGTGCAAACTTTAAAGACTGGCAACTCTAATCATGAGTTTTAAAATAAGATTCTGGTTAGGACAGGCTGTGAGAATACTTTTGGAGTCAACTTTGAAATTAAACTACAACTAGATATCTTAAACTTCTGATTATCTGCCTTAATGTTTATTTTAGGTGCTTTAATAAGAATATCTACTTTAGATTACAATAATTTAAAGAACGTTCATAGTCAAATCTGATCAGCTCAGAATCACCCTCAATTTTACGAGCACAGCCCTGAATGCGGCTGTCATATTCCACACCACAGCAGAACAGGCAACCTGGTCAGTCATTACATTGGAAGGTGGAAGAATAAACCCTTTCACCACCTAATATCGGCAAAGCAAAAGCCAGTGAGTTTTGCTACAATTTAGTTCTACATTCTAAAATGAAACTATAGGAAAACTGTCTGTTTACTGATGCATAACAGAGTTTCAACACTTATTAAGCTTTCACTCTGTGCCAGGTACTGGTTGGAAAGCTCTGAAAAATGCATCTTTTTTCACAACTCATGATGCAGCACATACACATTCTTTGAAATTAGACAAACTGGGTTTCTCTCCTGGCTCCACCATTTACTAGGTGTGTGACCTTAAGTAAATTACTTAATGTCAATTCCCTCATCTGTAAGAGATCTACCTCATCAGGTTGTTGTGAGGATTAAATGGCACAATCCATGTATCTGGCAGAGAATAACCTTTTAATTAGAGGTTGCTCTTACAATTATTGGACTCTCAAACCACATCTTTGGAAGAAAAATGGAACATTTTGCCAAAAACAATTAGGACTATTCTTAAGGTGAAGTTAATTTAAAGGTCTTCATTCAGGAAAAGTGACTGTAGAAACTTTAAAAAGCTCCTTTCTGATCAGAATTCTCAAAAAACATATCTTAAGTTGCTCTTACCTGAAGCTGTTGCACCAAGAGGTGCTAAGTGTATCCTCTGGCCAGCTGACCCCACTTCTTTTTTGAGAAAGGAAGGAATATATCCTGACTTTTTGTAAGTAGTATAACTCCCAAGATTTCCTAGTGATGTATCATAAAGTTTCATTGTCAGAAGATGAATATTTTAAAGCACCAGAGAGTAACTTTGAATACTACTCCTACTAAATCTAAATTCTATTTTTTGAGCATTTACTATATTTCAGGTGCAGCACTATGGTTTTACAGATATTCCTATTCAGTCCATATAAAAACCCTCTTAGACGTATTATTATCCATATCTTGTGACTCTTAGAACTTGCCTAAGTTCTCACGGTTTGTAAGGGACCGAGCTAGAATCATAACCCAAGGCTGAGTTCACCCTGAGCATCCCAGGTTTTTCTGACTACAGTTTTTAACACGAGAGCAGACTTTCTGCCAGGAAGCCCCCGTCCCTGTGGTGCTGTCTCTGCTCTTTTTCATTTTGTAAAATCACTGCACTAACCGCACCTATTTTCAAAGGGTTGTTGTAGGGACTGAATGAGATCTATGCAGAGCACTTAGCACAGAATCTGGTATTCAACGAATTTCAGCTGTCCTCATCATTCTCATCACTATTAGTGAATGATCAGTCTAGGGGCAATACAGGGATGAGTTGAAGGGGGAAAATCTAAAGGCAGGAGACCAGTCAGACGGTCACTGCTAGAGATGAAATGAGAGATATACAGGTTTGAACTAAGGCAGTCACGGAGAGGGTGGAGAAGAGGGGAACCGAGTGGGCATATGGGGTGGGAGGGGTAGAGAAAGAGAGGAATATAATTCCCGAAGTTTGAGGTTTAGGTGACTAAGAACAGCAATACAGGAGGAGAATCAGGTTCGGGGGAAGATACGATGCCTGTGAGATATTCAAGTCATAGAGGAGGAGCAGGCCTGGAGATTGGGAGTTAGGGCATGGCAGTTATAGAGCATGGAGGAGTCATTTCAGAGGGACCGCAAGATGTGCAAAGACCCAGAAGAGAACCCCAGGGAACAGCAGCGCTAAGGGAAAGGAAAGTACTCAATGGATAATAGAATGGTAGATGGTAGGAAGGGCAAGGTCTGAAAATTTAAGAGCTACAGTGTGTGAAGAAATAGCAAATGAGCAGAGAGGTCAGCGCTGCCCATTGGGTGTGGCCACCAGGATAATGTCAGGACCTAGCAGGTGTTGTTTCAGCAGCCTGAACATAAACTACAGTGAGTGAGGAACAACCTGGAAATGATGAGGAAAAATGAACGTAACTGTTCTTTCAAGGAGCCTGGCTATGCCAGAAAGGAGATGTTTGTCAGCGAGAAGGTGAAACAGTGTTCTGATAGCCTTGGTGGCTTCAAAGAACTGTTCACTTGGTAGCTGCAATTGAAGCATTTTTTTGCATGGTATTATTTGTTTACAAGTTTGGACTCTGAACTTTCTGTGTCCCAGATGTCTTTCACAGTGCTATGCATAGGAGGCTCTCAATAAGTGTTTGCTCTTGAATTAACAAATGTCAAACAGCAGTATTATTGATCAGACCCTAAAGGATTTTACACAGTAAATACGTTATCAGTTAACACAATTTTTAACATCGCTGAATTTTGCATAAGCAGCTGCCTCACTTGACTTTTCATTTACCTCCAGTACTCATTCTAAATCATGACTCTGCCCTTTACTTCAAAAGATTTTTTGAGAGGACGTTCCAGGCAGTTATCAAATTCAGTAGCATCTTCAGAACATTTCTCTTGCTCTCATTATCATCATCAGAGCAAACACTTATTAAATGCTCATTGTGTGACAAAAATCCTAGGTACGGTTATATAAAAATACCTGGGTAAATATTATTTCCTCCATTTTATAGACAGGGAAACTGACTTAGGGATCCTAAGTAATTTGTCCAAAATTACCAGGCTAATGAGTGACAGAATGGGGATATGTCGGATTCTCATAGCTGTGTACTAAATAGTTTTAGGCATTTTCTTCCTATTGGAGGGAGAAGTTGCCAAGAAAAAATACGTAGAAAATGAAGTAGACTTAAATTTTTTTGGCGTATTATTTGAAATGCCTTGTGAGCTGCAAATTTTTAGCCTGGAGTCAATAGTCAACACTCTTTAAACCAGTAACACCAAACCTCTAGGAAATCCACCATCTCTGTTAACCGGTTAACTTTTCCTTTTAAATGATTGTTAATGCTTAATAGTTTCAGAACTTTAAAAAAATTTCCAGGAATACTGATTACAAAATTAGAAAATATTCTTTTCAGTAGATTTACTTGACTTGTATAAACTGTCATAATTAAAGAAGATGAACATAGAGCTTTTTGCAACCAAATTAATTTGCTTAGAATCCCAACTACTGACGAAAGATGTTCTTGATGATGTGGAATGTGTCTTTTTCTCCTTGACCTGATCTACTCCTAAAAGCAGGTGACCTTGGCCTTCACAGTGGCCTTGTATGACAAGGGGTAAATGTTGAGAAGAAAATTGGACAAAAGATTCAAAGAACAAATGTACTCATCTATAATGCCCAGAAATTACCTTGTGGTTCCTCTAATTTTTCAGGAAAACTTTCATTGCATGATAGTTTTTCAATTGGTTTAATTATGCTTTCTTCTAAAGAGAAGGCAGATGGAAAGAAAGAATAATAAGGAGAATGTTTTAAGAAAGGCAGAGAAATAATAGATTAGATGATTAATGAAAAGATCCAGAAAGAACCCTTAATATGAAAAAAATCTTCTCATGTGTTATCACAGCTTTCGTTTTATGCCAGTCTTTTATTCCCCTGAGACTCAAAGTTGTAGTGCTGTCATTTAAACTGATTTGTATTTGACCAGTTGGTTCAGTGAACATTATTTTAAAATAACTGAGAAAAAATAAGTAAATTATAGTGCTGCTATGTCTGACATCTCAGCACTATTAAATGGATAAGCTGAGTCTTCAAAGTGTCTGAAAGACATGTAAAATACCCAACGTGTGTTAATGTCACTTCAGAATACCTTAGTAGACTATTCAGTTGCTATACAATAATCCTCAAACTTTTTGGTCCAAAACCATCTACGTTTTTTTTTAAAGAACTCTACACATTTCAAGCTGATATTTAAAATTTTTCATCATAGTTTTTACAGTTCCAAAAGATGTAATTTCTGGCATACTGTAATTACAGATATTTAAAAATAAAACTATTACATCTCTTCTTTTAATATAACCAATGGAATCTACATACCATAGTGAATTTATGCCCACTAATATTGACTTAAGAAATACATGAACAGGGTTTATTTTTAACAGTAGGAAATTCTATGATAATCACTTTTCTAAAATTTTACTTTTATTCATAAGTTAACTCCCAAATTTTATCCAAATAATAATTTTAGGCTTAAAAGTCTTTAAATTCATCATTCAAAATGTATATAAATAAAAAACCTTTCAAAAAAATTCCTTGTAACCATAAGCATATTAAAATAATCTTTTTTTTTTTTTGGATTAAGTTAGTTGTAATTACAATGATTCATTGTCTATAATTAATCAAAAAAGGTGAGTATTTAAATTTTGATTACTAAACATGGCAAGTAATTTGGGGGGGAAATTCTTCTGTTAATAAGAAAGATGTGACCTTTTTCAAGTCATTCATGTATCCACAAATGAATATTACTTATTGCTAAAATCAGACAGTGTTCAACATCAATTCAATTCCCCCCTACTTTTTTTTTTCATTTTTGAATATGGAAGCACTAAGAAATCTTGTTGATGTAAATAAGTAGTTAGGAATGAATGGTGTCACAGCTTTGTCACTATAGTCTTTGAACTCTATTAAATAAAGTTATAGACCAAAAATCATACAGTGATCTCATAAAATGTGTTTTTAATTACCTGTCAGCTAATAACTCAATTAGGTTCTCCTGCAATTTTCTGAACGTTAAGAACTGGAAACCACTTAATGTAAAAAGGATTTGTCCCCCAATCTCTTTCACCTGACACCAACATAGCAAACTTTTCCTTTCATTGCCGCACCAGATATTTTTACACTTTGGGAAAACAGGAAACACACTATAGTAAACAGTGAGAAGTTTTTTGCTGTTGTTTGTTTGTTGGTTGGTTGGTTTTTTGTAAAGTAGGAGAATAGAGACAGTTGCTCAGGCAGGTCCATTTTAGGAAAGAATCCATGTGGAAGTTGAGATCTGGCAAATGATTCCCTTAAAATGATCTGTGCTCAGTACCAGTGGGAAAACCTTTGTGTATCCTTAAGAGTATCTCTGTTGGAAGAAGGCAGCTGCAGTATACTTAAAAGTTTGCAGAAGGAAAACAATGTAAATTTGTACTTTAAATGTATTCTTGCTTTACCTGCATTACTCCTTCTGAAGGCAAGTTCTGCCCCAATGGGTCCCAATGTCTTAGGAAATAACTTATTACTCCAAGTATACGGATTTATGTCCTTTCCACGGGCTATCAAGGACACATTCTTAGGGTTTACACCTTAGAAGAACAAAACAGTCATTTCAAAGATTAGAGTATGATCATAGACTTGAAGGAAAAAAATATTATACATTCAATCAAAGATTAGAAATAACTTGGGGAAGGAGATGGAAATAAACTTAGGTTACAGTGTAGCAAACACTAGGTTTTTGATTAACCCTAGCATGATCCTAAGCCCTAAGCACAATAATCTGGAATCCTCAGTGTATTTGATAAACTTAAAATATTTTCTATAACAAGTTATAATTAAACATTGGACACTTCTTGCTGAATGTCTGGTAAAAACTGAGGTGGTACAAAAATTTTCTTCATAAAGATATTTCCAAGTCATTCACTTATTTTGAGAAGGTTCTCTGTGCCAGACTGCCGGGGAACATTTTGCATAGCTGGGAAAACAGACATGTGACCAAGAATTCAGGGGAACCCGAGAAGTTTGGAAGTAGATGTATTAAAGATCTGTGAAGTTTATCTATATATTAGACATAGTAAAATGTAAATGGTTAAGTTGTTTTTGATTTTCTGAAATCTGTGAAATGTGGAGTCAACCTTGGACTTTGTTACTAGTAAAGGGTATCGTTTTAACCTATTTAACCTAAGAGACTTGAAAATTTCCTGACTTGCTTTCTTTATACCGATAATTAAATTGGATTCAACTTATCAGACACTAGAGACATCACACAGCTAAGCCTTGGGGTCATACATGTAGAGTTTTCTGTAGCTACTATAGGATAAATCTTCACTGATGACTACCATTAATGTAGGAAGTTAGCAACTGATTCCAGGCAGTTGAACTTTTTGCTCTTCACGAAGGGAACTCCTTAGCAAAGTATCACATTAATGAGACATATAATAATATCCTTGTTTTGAAGCCAGAAACAAGCCTAGTTGTTCTGTACAGAGAACAACCTCAAGGTCGCCCTATCATCGTTCTCTAAGGAAATATTCCATCAAGTAATAATTTCCCTTTCTTATAGGATAAAACTCCTTATGGATTTTGCTTTCTAATAGAATACCTACAGATAGAACTATAATGGGCTATAACATGACAATGAAGAAGATGCACTAGATAGTGATTATATTAAAAACATCTTTATGATAATAAAAAATAGTAAAAAATAATTTTCAAAAACCATATACTTTGCACAAAATAAAGTACAAAGTCGGGGAAAAACTAAAACTCTTTAACTGAACAAATTAAAATGGGCCTTGAATATTTAAATTTTTTTGTTAATCCAGGTAGCCCTGAGATATCTCTAGTTTTTTTAAGTAAATATATACACTATTAAGATAATGGCTTTAATTTTTGTTTTTTAAAGATTCCATTTTTTTGGAAATAAAACAATCTAGAATTTTAAGTCATTTATGTATTAGTTTATAAGCTTATTGGGTACTATCTATATACCAAACACTGTGTTAGAGAGAAGTAGAAATTAATAACTATCATCTCTCACCTCAAAGGAGATTAAAAAGTCAGTTAGCAAATATTTACTGAGCACCTACCATGTGCTAGGCAGTGTGTGTGGCATTAGAGAAAAAGTGGTGAACAAAATAGACAAGTTTCTACCCTTTTGGCTCTTAAAATCTACTCTAATGAGAAAAGGTACATTAATAGTTATAAATAATTAGGTAAATAGCGGTGCACAAATTGTTTAGAAGGATCTGGTACTGAGAGGGCAAATAACAGAAACGAGCCAGTTTTTTGTTTTTGTTTTTGTTTTTTAAGTAATTTTCAGCCGAAATGTGAATCATTAGAACTTGGTAGAGGTTGGAGACTGTGTTCCTGGGAGAGGCAACAGTGCTGGCAGCGGACCTGAGGTGGGAAAGAACTCAGAGACACATTCAGCATGTATGGCGCAAACAAACAAGGAGTGGCATAAAATGAGGCTGGGACGGGGGGAGCAGGGGTCAGATCACATAGAAATTTGTATGTCATTGTTAAGAAATTTTAAATGCAGTAGGAGTGGCAAGTATAGAAATGATACAGGGCATTTGATACACATGGTGGAAGGAAGGACGTTAAGTAATAATTGGTACTCGAGAAGATCCACAGACCAGGATTTCAAAAGTGCTATGGAGTGAACTACTCTTCCTGCCTGCCAACATGGTGGCATCAATTCAAGCTAGAGAGTCTTGGTTGTAGGATCAGGCAGTGAGACCAGAGGGCTGTGGAGAGATGTTAGCACTTCCACTGCATACTCTATTTGCAACTACCTTGTGATAATTAAGTACCTAAGGCTTACAGGGTGAGCTGATGACTGCAGTCCCATTGTAAGTAACAGAAAACAGAATCTTAAAGTCTTGTTCCAGTACACAGCCGGTCAGTAGCAGGTCAATAGCTATGACTCTTGCGTCTCTCTCCCTGAAGGCCAGTGTCACAGATATGCCAAATCTTGTAGTATAATGTCATGCTGCCCTGAAATAATATGGTACATTTCTAGAGCTCCCATGATCCTAAAGGTTGATACTTTATAAGACCTTTTATACTTGTTTTTATAGTAAGAGGGCCCCCAAAGAGATTGTTCTTTTTTTATTCCTGAATATATTCAATTATAAAAATAACTTAGGATCACAAATGTCAAAAATCACTTCTCATTTGGGTTTCTATCCTCTACAGTTGCTGGCTCATGATAGGTGCTCAATAAATGTTTGTCCAAGTGACTGCACTGAGCTCAATTCTATTTCCAAATCTCACCCAGCTCTAGAGGGGCCATCTTCAAGACAAAAAATACCAACAGGGTTAACAGTAAGGCTCAAGTTAACATTTCAAATAATTCTTTCTAATTTTGAGACATTCTTAAATCTCGGTTACAGCCACGCTTTGACCCAAAGTAATTTTCAGAATTTGTTAGGTCTTTCTGATTAAAAAGGAAACAATTAGAAGGGTCTCAGAATCCCTGAAATGTATTCTTGAAAACCACTTTAGGAGCCAAACTATGAAAATGGGGGTGCTTTAGATCCATTTATCCTCTGACAAAAATCTACAGTAGCCTTTCCCACAACCAGAGGGCTTACTTCTGCAGGTATAAATACTGAGTTGCTACATTTCAATCAATGAAATGTACTTGATTTAAGAAACAACAGTAACAACAAAAAAACACGGAAAAGTGCCCCCCATGAATCTGTGTCCTATGAACTTTCTTATACATCTGCTTTTGCAGACCAGAACTCCCTCATGGTTTAATGCCAAAACTTACAAACCAACTGGTATCTAAATAGATTACAACACAAGAATCTTTGCTCCTCTCAAAAGTACATGCCATCTCTTACGGTCTTAACTCCAACTCTTCTCAACTGTCTAAGCCTTTCAGTCTCTCATTCATTCCCCTCCTCTTCTGCATGATCTACTCTAGAAATGATCATTCCCATCCACACACAAATCTGCTCCAAAAGTCCCAGAGTCACCACTGTTGAGGTGCCCCTTTACCCCAAACCCCACTCTGGTATGGCTGCGTTTCTAACTGCCTCTTCACAATCCAACACCACCAAAGAGTTGTCTACATTTTTAATGGCTGATTTCTTATCTCTCATCACGTCTTAACTCGCTCCAGATCTCCCTCCCCATCCCAGACTGAAACTGCCCATCAAGGTCATCAGGGACCTTTCCACTGCCAAATTTAATCAGACATTTCTATCCCTCTTATCCAGCTGCTCAGCAGCAAACAACTCTTTCAGGTAAACTCTCCCTTCTCTGCCTCTGGAAACCACCTTTTTGTGGTTTGCCCCTCATCTGTCTGGCTGCTTCCTTTCCCCTTTCTCAGCTCCTCCTCCTCCTTTTCTGCTACTACTGTTCTACTTCTTCGTAGGTGATCCCCAATAAGCCAGTGTCTTCCCCACCTCTGACCGAAACATCTTTTCTCAGCTCTTTACACGACTGCCTCCTTCTCATCTTCTGGGCATCAGCTAAATTTTAGAGAATCGAGGAGTGTGTTCCACACCCTGCAGCAGTCACACTCGAGTTCATCTCCCTGTTTTCACAGTAGCACTTACCTCTACCTGCTAATTTTCTTTTTCTCTCTCTCTCCACTAGAACATAAGCTCCTGGAGAGCTCTTAGCATGCTCTACCCAACAGCCCAAATGATCTTTCAAAATCAGAAATCAGATAATTTAGGAAACAATATAAAATTCCACATTTTATAAAAAGTTGTATGGGCGTGGAATTGTTTTAATAAAATTCAGCATTTCCTAAAGGTATAGCTTTGGCGGGAGAATATGGTATTTTTTGAAGCATATTCTTCATCTTGATTTTTGGCTGCTAGCCATTTCTTGAGCAGACTTCAGAGAGGCAGGAGGCCCAGAAAAGTACTTGGTGACAAGTACTGACAAGATTGAGTCAGCAAAGAGTACTGTGACTATACTTTTTATTTCATCGGTGCTCTTTCTGCAGATTCTAAGATACCTGAGCCTAACTTATCTATATTCTAGTTAGCAGTAAATGTTTTTTTTCTCTACTTACCTGGAAGGTATCTTGATTGTTTCAAGTAGTACTGTTTAGCTGGTGAAGCAGTTGACAGTTCAGGATCAGATTTTAGGGAAATGGCAGCAGGTAAGCTCTTGTTTTCCTCTGCTGAGCCTGACTGTACTGATTCTGGAAGGCTTGAAAGTCAACATAACATAACATTCAGCGTGAAAAATGAGAAGATGACAGCTACTATGTTCTCATCCACCCCCTGCACATCTTTTCAAACCGGGCAAGGTGACCTCACCTAAATGGTTTTCATCAGAGAAAACTAAAGGACAACTTTCCCCTGCAATAAATATTAGACAATGCATAGAATCATTTCTAATACTAGACAATATGTGACAGAAAGCCTTATAACTGAGCAGCACATTGTCTGTGTATAATATGTTTCTATCCTACAACTGCTGCAGTTATGGATTTATAATATGGGAAGAAAATCAGAGCCATTGTCACCTGTCTACTAATGTAATGTATCATCAGGGAGGTTGTTTGGGACCCCCTCGGAGGCTGACACTGACTTAGCTGGCCCTTTGAACTGCTGGCTACCCCAGCCCACTTTGGGATGGCCCTAGACACAGGTAGAAACGGCCCCACCCATTTCTGGCTTCTTTACCTTCTCCCCAGCCAAATGCTGAAATTCTACTCATCTTCAAAACTGCTTACTCTAAAAAGAATTTCCTCTCTCCTCAAAGTTGTCTGCCTATAAACAGAACTCTTAGATCTCCCTGCAGCTCCTTTACTAGTGGCACTTAATACATACACTGTCTTATGTTATAGTAACTTAAAGGTCTTATTTCTGCTGCTATACATTTGATGGATAGAAGACAGACTATATCATGTTGGTACCTTTGCTTAATACCAAGTAGGTGTTTAGTAAATGTCTATCGAGTAGGAATACAAGTATAAATGCAAATAAGTATAAATATCTTGCTTTTGTTCACTTACAAAAAGACAACCGTTAAGTAAAGGTTTTACACTTTAGTATTTGATATTTTGTATTCTTTATGGGGAAGACCAGGCTGCCTGAGAAACTGATCAAAGAATAGCAGAATCCATTCTGTTCACTGAGTGTTTGAGCTTCTGTTGCTCATCTGACATTGGGCAACCTGTTTATTTAACCTATCTGAGTCTCAGTATCCTATTCTGCAGATATTTTTACTGGAGTATGAAAATCATAAATAAAATTTAGATAGGTTCTTAATAAATGGTAGTATATTAATAATTATTATTATATGTCTAAAGTATAAAAAGCCATTTAAAGATACCAAAAAATAAAAATGGAAGAAATACCTACGTTAAAAGTTCATTGTCAAATAGTTTTTCTTTTTCTAAAGAATTTTAAGAGAAAAGGACTAATTGATGTTTAGGAAATTTACTAATTGTTCCCTTGCCAGAATCAAGTATAAAGACCACAAACTTTATCTTAACTATAGGTTTAGATTCAATCCTCTTCTACCCCTAAAATTTACCTATGATAAAATTCAGCTGGAATTAGAATGACATAGTTTTTAAAAAAGGGTTTCAAGTCATCTACATACTGCACCAATGGTCTTCAAACTCTTTTTCTCCCAGATACAAGAAAATATTTCTAAAATAACAACATAGTTTCTAAGTTTATTTCTAGTTTCTTGTTAATAGAGAGAAAACAGTAAACATTTTATAAGATGAAATATGAGTATTGACTGTAATTAGAGTATTTCATGGTACAACTTGCTAAAATAAGTTTTAATTACCTTAGTCCATAAAATACTCTGAATCTTCAAAAAATTATGTATAATTATATCCATAGGTTTTAAAAAATCAAACGGTTTCACAGTACGTCCTAGTACATTTAAAAGAATAAGTATCACTAGGCTCTGGTTCTTCAGTGGTTCTGGATCTCCATGCTTTCCAACACAAGCTAAAATACCCTACTTCTAATGCAGGGTTGTATAGCGCTAGGAACTACAAAAACTTTTTGAGTTGAAGGTGGCAGTCTTCTAATTTCTCCTTTTGTTTAGCACCTCACAGGTACTAAACCCTCATTTCATACAAGATATGAAATGGCTGAGAGGTGTGACTTTCTAGCAAAGTGGGAGGAGGATTAAGCACATTTATTCTCAAGTATTTTAGAGAAGAATACCTATGGAACTTGAAGATCTGGAAATTAATTGACTAAGAATTGTCCAAGCATATGTCTCTCTTAGAGAATTTTCATGTGTCCTCAGAGGTATGTGTATCCCAAAGTAAAGACTTCTGCACCATACAATGCCAAATAGTTATTAAACTTCCCTGACTCATGCCATATCTTTTATCCCTATTTCCTTTCTGTTCAAAAGAGGAAAAAAGAAAATATTCTTCCAAAACATTCACCAAAATTTAACCTACCCTCGCTTCAAAATTGAATAATGCTCTAATAATGATTCAACTTATAAAAAGAAAAGGGACTGCTAGAGATATTAAAATTTCAGAAAAAGTTCAGGAAATGATAAAAAAAAGTTTAAAAGTTTAGAGTAGCAAGCAAACAAATAGTTGAATCTGGACACCATCTGAAGAAGCCATTACCATTGTAGACTGTGCTTTGCTTTCTGAAAATAGGCATGTGAATTTCAAATAGGAATAATGGTGATCATAATTCAAAAGGGCAAATGAAAAATTTAACAAGAACCCCTTCCGCCACATACATGCAACATTCAGCCATAATACTGAGAATCATTACTGTGAGAAGTCAAGAGGCTTATCTTTTCAGAGGCAGGCACAGAGTTTTAGGTTTTGTGGAAGAAAACGTTAAGCTACTTACTGTCTTTTACTGTCTACATTCATTTATACTTAATGAGTAAAATAAGGTTGATGCATGATAGAAATATACTTTCCGGAGGAATTTGAAATCTTACCGAAATGGAGAATCTTTCCTCCTCTTTTCTTTGAAAACACCCACGCTTGGCTTCTTGGAATGAGAAGCTCCGAAATCACAGTCCTCGATCTCTTCCCAGCTATCTCCGGACTTGAACACAGTCTGACCCCAACGCCTTCTCCCGCTTTTATGCCCCAGCATGCCATTTGGCTTCTGTGGTGGAAAGTCAGTCATCATCATCTTTAATCATTTGCTGAATGCCTTTTATACACAAGCTATTATATTTGATACTAAGAGTCCCCATTCTCAAGAAGCCTTACATATAGTTAAGGTAACAACATATATACACATTTAAAAGTATTAACAAAAATAAGCAGCACATGCTAAAAATACAATAGGATTTGAGAGGAAGGAGAAATTTTTTTGAACTTGGTTTGGCAGCAGACTTGAATACTTAGGATTATAATTAATTCTTAATTGATATATAATTTGGAAAACTACCATGCGTAGCTGTGTCTCTTTGGACAATTGACTTAACTTCTCGAAGCCTTGGTTTCCTCTCCTGAAATGTGGATATACACTATTTATCTAGTAAAATACATCAAAAGTCCTTAGGGTGGGTCCTAGCCCATAGTAAGAGTTATTAAAGGTTAGGTATTATTAATGTTGTTGTTGTTGTTATTATTATTATCCTAGTTTGGAAGAGGAAATGTATAAAGTATGGCTTTTTAATAAGAAAGTGCCAGAGTCTGTTCCAGGAAGAAAGAGTAGAGTGCATTTACTGAAGTAGATGGTTTGTTCTGGAAGTACTGAAGGACAGGGTTGCAAAGACAGACCGATACTACACTATGAAGGACCTTCAATGTCTGCCTAAGAAATTGAAGCTATTCTATGGGCAATGGAGAACACTGGATGCTTTGGAGCTGAAAAAAGTGATGTGATAAAGGTAGCATTCTAGAAATGTCAGCTTTTTCAAATAGGAGGCCTCTGCAGTTATAGCAGCATGCAGTGACAAGGATAACAGATTCATAGTGGTTGGAATGCTCAGGAAAGAATACAGTTGCTATTAACAAGGAATAAAAGGTCTGGACTTTGTATATGTCTAAACAGAGGTCAAAGGAGAGTGTGGCAGATACTGCTCATTGCCTACTCAATAGTCATTCTCCCTTTTTTCTTACTGATATTTTGTTCAGTGCAGCAATATGCCCCAGTTAAAATAGCTGAATTCCCAGCTTCCCTTGCAGCTACATAGCCAGGTGACATGATCTAGCCAGTGAGTTACAATTACAAGTCTATTGGGAAGTACTTCTAAGAGAGCCATTTTCAGTCTTTCACCCTTCCCCCTTCAAGAAGGCAGATACAACCACACAAAGGAGCAGCAGCCATCTTGTATCCATAAAAATGGAACCTGCCTGCTAAGGGTGGTAGAACAGGAAGACAGAAGCAGTCTGGTTCCTTTTACAAGTAGCACCAGCCCTGTCTTGCCCACCACCCCCACTTCTTGTTATGAGAGAAAAACAACCCATTATTAAGCCACAATAGTCAGGTTTCTACATCACTAATGAACACAGAGATACATACAAACTGAAAAATCCAAAAGGCAATTGAAAATTAGGGAATGTGGAAGCAGAGTATGTTTGGAGCAAGAAGATGCTTAAAGAAAGGATGTGCTGTTGCTTGAAGCTCATGGTGTTATAGTGATGGATAATGACAAAAAGTGTTATTTGCCAACTTCTATTACACTATTGTTTTTGTTGTCAGGGAAAATGAGCTCCAGACTAAGGAGCCCCACACATAAGTAGAGTTAATCAAAGGTTATACTTAGTTGAATTCAAGAATCTCATTTCAATTGAATTATATTTTAGTGAGCTGATGCCGTATGCTACTAAACAATGTAAGTAATATCAAGTAGTCTTGTATGTCTGAGAAAACTAGAGAGATGCAAATATAAATTTTATAAAGTAGAAGGTGGATTTTTACAAACTCCATATTAATAAGTTTGGTATAGGATGAGGGCAAAGATTCTAAAATTAAAGGGAAAGTTTTCGAGCACTGAATAAAAGAAGTGGTAGATCATATAGGCCACCATTTTTCATAAAAAGTGAATGATGAATACATGTAGTCTATATGGACTCCAGCAAAGTAGGTGACAGGGTCTTTCACTATATCAGTGAAATAAAGTAATGGTAGGATAACAAAGGTGGATCAGTACTGTTATGGACTGAATGTTTATGCCCCACCCCAAATGTATATGTTGAAATTTATATGCCCCTTAAAATTTATACCCCAACTAAAATGTGATGGTATTTGGAGATGGGGCCTTTGGCGGGGGTGGGGAGTATTTGGGGATTGACAATGTCATAAGAGTGAGACCCTCATCATGAGATTAATGCCTTTTTAAGAAGAGACTTTAGAGAGCTTGCTTTGTCTCTCTGCCATGTAAGGGCAAAGCAAGGAGGAGCTATCTACGAACCAGGAAGAGGGCCCTCACTAGGTATCTAACTGGCCAGCACCTTGAACTTGGACTTCTCAGCCTACAGAACTATGAGAAAATAAATTTCTGTTTTTAAGGCCACCCAGTCTATGGTATTTTGTTATGGCAACTCTAGTTGACTAAGACAAGTACATAATACAATAATCTGACCAAGAGCACGAATTAATGGATCAGTGTCACTCTAGAAGAAGGTTCTAGTGGCCTGCTATTCTGTTCATCAGGAAGGTACAGGAGAAAAAAAAAAATGAACAATTAAACAAATCCATAGCTGATAACAAGCTGAGCAGAATGGTAAAACTGAGAAGGCAAAATAAGGGTTCAAAATACTTATTAGAAATTTGAGAGGTAAAAGTAAAGTCTTGCTACTTTTTGAATTTTAGAGATCAAATACACAAAGAAAGGTACAGAATATGTGTTTTAGCAGAAGCACCTGTGAAAAATAGGAATTTTAGCTGACAGAATGCTCTGTCTGAACTCTGGAACTTATTAGCTATCTAAGAATTTAGGGCTATGTTATTGGATACTTCAACTTGAAGAATGTATACAGGGGGCCTAGCTAGCATAGTGTACAGTGCTTAGTGGCTACTCAGAAAACTTCCTTCCCTCTCGGTATGAGTCAACATTTGATGTGCCTACCAAGAAAAAAACAAAAACAAAAATGTAACCCTTGGTGGCACAAGTGAATATATGGTTCTGGAATGTTGGAGGTGATTCATGCTGTTTTATGCTCCCCTCCCCACCTGCTGTCTGCTCTAGTTCTGGCAGCCTCGTTCTAAGTTGGAAGCAAGACAGTGAGGAGACTCAAAGGCTCCTTCATACGCAGGAACCAAGGGTTACTCAGCCATTGATGAATGATGTTATATGTGAACCACGTGAGGGATCCAGGATGTTTCTCCTAGAGAACAGGGCTGACAGAGGGCTATTTTCAAATATCTAAAAGTCTGCCTTTCTAGAAGAGTGATTAACTTTTGTTAAAAGCTACAAAAAAACACAGAATTTAACTCAGTATAAGGAAGAACTTTCTAATGGTCAGAATTGCCCCAAAGATGATGTGGATTCCTCAGGACCCTAATGTGGTTTAAAATAGTGTGGACAGTTACTCATTCATTCATTCAACAGATATTTGTTGAGAATTTACCATGCGCCAGGCCCCATTCTGTGTCTGTATTAATAAACAAAACAAACATCCCTGACCTCATGGAGCTTACATTCTAGTAAGAAGAGCCAGATAATAAACAATACATGTAAGAAAGAATTAATAGTATGTTAGAATGTGATTAGTGCTATTGGGGGCAGGGCTTACTTATATAAGGATGGCAGGACTGGATAAGCAATTAGTGTTCTTTAAGATCTCTTTCAGTTCTAAAATGCCCATAATTCAAATGCATTTGGGAGTATACATCTTGAGGAGACAGCTAAAATATACGGCACCGGATGCGCTCCCTGAACTGAACAAGAAGTGGGAAGAGGAAGTCTTACACTATGCCTGACACTTTAAAAACCCATTCTATTCATGTTCATTAACATTTAAAAACAGTATAAAATTACTATTAAAATCCTTAGGATTTAAGATCAGCTCTCTTTAGTTCCAGATTCTTTTCAATTCTTTCTTTGAGTCCTTAGCATCTAATTAACTGTTAAAGTCTGTAGCATGCAAACTTTATTATGTTCATTCTGACAGTTAACTTAGAATTTTAAGTTATCTGACACCCAGATGCAGAGGCTTTAATGTAGAATAATCTTTTATATCCTTCCCCACATTTTTAAGAATGTCTAGAAACAAAATCCTAATTGAGCCAGTCAAACTATTGTGTCTAAGGAATCACGGGCTACTTACAGTTGGCATGTTTTTGACAATACTTGGAAATAGTATTTGCGGCTGTTTCTGTTGACTTTCCTGCTTTGGTGTTTGCTGCACAATTGTATTCTGTGGTGCCTGGATGGGCTGCAGTGGCTGGTGGCTGTATTTAGGCTGGGGCTGTCCAGTAGTCTGATCATTTATATCTGGCAGAGGCGTAGGTTCTAGATCAAGTATAGATGGCTTTGATTCCAGTGGTTGCACTTGCTTATTTAAAGACTGTTTGGATTCTAGATGATGTGAGGAAGGGCCTAATATTTGACCAACTTGAAAATACGGATGTTTCAATGCCTATAAAAGCATGGAAATAACAAATGAGAACAGTTTTACATAAATTTATTGCACATAAACTGTTGTTCGGCACTGGGCTAGGCATATATCACACTAGTCTAGATAAGCTTCCTAGATTTAGAGAGCATCCAGTTTCTCCCACATGGTGACTTTAAAAAGATAACCAGGAAAAAATGATAAATAAATTTCTTAAGAGAAATAAAGTACTAGTTAGTAGGAAGAATGTAAATATCCAGGCAAAGCAACTGTTCTAGTTAAGATTTTGTATGAAAAGAAAATCTAACTTATAAGCAGTGGCTAAATTTGATGTGATTAAGTCAAATTAAAATGCTAGATAGTGATAATGGTTTAGAGTCCATCCAAAGGCATTAAGAAATGAGTTAAGAAAACCTTCTAGGTAGTTTATTTGAAATAATTAACTATAACATCATGTAAAATTAAAATTTAGGGCTACTCTTAGCCTAAGTATTATACAGCATACCTACTATTGATAAAAATATTCTAAGAAGAATATAAATGCATATCTGTTAAAATGTATTTATCAATAGACTGACAAAGAGAAGACATTTATGGGAAGATAATATAAAAATACTCATTAAAATGGTCATTGTTTGAGTTTTAACTAGATGGATCCATTCAATTTGCTTCTATTGCATGGTTTTGGGAGGTGCTAATAACTGTCTGGGTGACATAGTCTAGAGCAGTGGTTCTCAACTGGGGCTGATTTTGCCCCTCAGGAGATATTTGGCAATGTCTGGAGACATTATTAATTGTCATAACCTGGGGGTGGGAAATGCTACTGGCATTTTGGCATGCTGCCAGGAATGCTGCTGAACAGCACAGGCCCCACAACAAAGGATTATCTGGTCAAAACTGTCAGTAGTGCCGAGGTTGATGAAACTTGGTCTAGAGGTTGATGAAACTTGGTCTTGAGCTGAAGCCTCTGGGCAGCTCAGCTGTGGATATTGATCCTCTTATCAGTGTTATATGCCTGGATGCAGTTGAGAAGTTCCCAGTTCTACTAAGTTTGTGTCTGGGCAGAACCCTGACTTCACAGTTAACTTCTCAGGTGTATAAGGGACAGAGGCAGCTCTGTACATGATCCCTGTATCCCATAACTTAACCTCTTTCTAATTAGGTCTCCCTGTTTCCACTAAAAAGCACAGCTATGAAATAATGAACAAGAAAGAGGTTAAAGGCAGGGAGGTATATTTTGTCAGAGGTGAAAAGAGTTTTTATTCTAAGACATCCTCTACCACAACGGGTGTATGTGTTCATTATTACACTAAAACTGCTAAGTGGAACTCAACAAATACAGACAATTTAACTACCTCAGTACCTGATGCACAGAAAGTCACATTAATTAGTGTGTCAATACTCCTAAATTAATAATGCATATTTTGGAGCTAGAGTCTTTATGAATGTGTTTTGCAATTTTAAGGCTTCATTTCTTAACAACTTTTCCCCTTTAAGATAACAGTTACCATCCTTCAGGAAGAGAATCTTTTTAAAAAATAGCATTTATCCCTGTTGATTAAAGGAATATTTGATCATTGCACAGAATAAGGAATGTATAGAAAGTTCTCAAGAAGAAATTAAAATCATCTCTAATGCCAACACCAAGAGAAAACTACCACTCACATTTTGTTGTTTTTCTTTTCAGTATTTTTTTCTAGTTGTATAACATATGTATATATTGTCTAGTAAAATCATATCTAAAATCATATCTATCTAATAAAATCATATCTATATTTTCTAATAAAATCATACCTAAGCTTACTTTTATACTTAGGATTTGAGCTTGAGAATTCTCTGAAATGGTTATTTTAAAAATTTCATTTTAATGGTGGCATAATAATAGTAAGGATATACATACTTTAAGTGTTCCCCTGCAAACATTTAGGCTTATATTTCCAATGGGCAGTTTTTTTAATTTGCTTTGAACATCTCTGGGTATAAATCTTTACCCAACTTTCTGATTGTTTTTAAGTTTCTTTCTATACAGTGCAAAATTGTTAGTACTTAGAGAAATAGCTTTTAAACTATTTTTATCTTTTGTTAATTAGCGGATAAGAAAACCAATACTTCATTTTTATTTGCATTTTATGATAGTGAACAAAGGTTGAACACTAAAAAATTTTTTTAGTAATTTTAATTTTTTTCTATGATTTTTTTTATGTATCATGCCCACATTTCTTTTTTTTAGGTAAATTTTAAAGACTTTTATTATATTTTTATTACAAACATAATAAATGTTTAGAAACACTAGAAAATACACTCTAGTGTTTGTTAAAAACAACTCACTGCCTTTCAAATTTAAGATTTGAATATAAGAAAAAAATTTGAATATAAGAAAAAGATTTGAATATAAGAAAAAAAATTTTATTTTTATGATCAATTCTTCTAAGTTTTCTCTTTATGGTTTCTTCTATTACTTTTATACCCATCATTTACTTACCTTGAGATAAAAAAAATTCGCTATACTTTCTTTAGTTCTTAGTAGTTTAGTTACTTCCCAAATTCCCCTCCCCCATTATTTAAAACTTTTGTGATTTATTTGTAGAGTATGGTAAAAAGAACCTAAACTTACTTTTCCCCTAAGAATTAACTAATTGTCCCAGTAACATTTACTGAACAATCCTCCTCCCCCAATTTGTGATGCCATGTTAGCTTACACTGACTTACAGTTTCTGCAACCCAGAGCTGTTTGTCAATTCTTATGCTAGTACCTTCATTGTTGTCATTATTACCACTTTACAGATTATTTTAATATTTTATAGCAAAAGCTGTTCACCCCTACCACCGTCTTCCAATTACTTATTTTGGGGCAAACCTGTCTTGACTATTCTTTCCTTTTTTTTCTTCCAGATGACCTTCAGAAAACATTTTCTCAAGTTTAATTTTTTTTAAAGCCAAATAATTATTTGGTAATTTTAATACTGAATTTATATTTAAATAATAATAATACAATAAATATTATTATAACTTTTTAATTTAACCCTTTTTAAATTAAAACCATGGTGTTTTAAAGACCATGAGATTTGAGATACAACACAAGGTGTCAAGCATGAGTGCCACATGCTGCCCTCTTGTGGGAGCCTGAGAGTGAAGAAGAATCCACCTCGAACCACAAGGAAAGCTTCGCAGACTCTACTACATCTTATGATTGGAGAGATGCCTTTTACTAAGCATGACAAGTTTCCTCCTAACTAGCCTGTCACATGCTTGGATTTTTATCATTTTAGAGATTTATTCCTCTCGGCTTCAATTTCATAGTTACTAATTTTAACCACAAAACACAGAAAATCACTGGAGTGCTATTTTTGCAATTTTCCCAAAGATCTTAGATGGCTAGAAATTAATTCATTACACATTCTGCGTGCCTTGATGCCTTAATTCTCTTGGTAAAACCTTGGTTGAGAATAACCTTATCTTTGCAAATGAAAATATCCCTGATATTGTAAACCTTCAACATTAAAAAGAAAAAAAAAGTATTCCAGGGAGATTCATTTTACCTGGCTTGCCGTTGGTCGCTTTTTTGGATCCCAATTCAACATGTCAGTCATAAGCTGAATAGCTTCATTACTGGCATTGGGTATAAGAGTTTTTAAATTTATAGGAACACACTGGGGAAAGCGGAAATTCATTGAGGATGCAAGGTGGTACCCTTCTGGCCAGTCACTCTGTTTAAGGAATATATAAGTTGGGGGAGGAGGCAGATAGAAGGAGAGCAAAAAGAAAATTAGTAATCAATTTAAAACATAGTAATAATAAAAAAATCACTCATGTAAAATTTTAATGTTGATTCATATCAATAAATGTGAGAATGAAATCCCAGACCACATATACAATTTAGTGTTGCAAACAGTATAGAAAGAACATTGAACCAAAAGTTAGGACGATGAGAAAGCATTTTTATAAATTTCAAATTATTAAACTGGTATTTGGATCATGATGATGATGATGATGAGATCCAGGTGACTTTGAACAAATAACAACATGTGTTTTGCAAAGGCTGATTATTTATTACAAAGAACTTGATTATATGTTATATGTTGTGTCCGATGTTAAAAATTGCACATAGCTGGGAAATGACAATTATGATAAAGCTTTAATAGCTACATTTGGTTGTCTACTGTTAACTAGAAAGCACTTACTAATTTAATTAGAATGTAATTATATATACTTAAACATATTAAGTACATCTCAGAAAGTAAGACCTAGGTGAAAGCAATAGTTAATTGAAAAGTACTCAGTTCAAGAAATCAAATGTCCATGGTAAAGGTGTACAAAAGCAATTGAGAAAAGATTAAGAGAAAATAAGATCCAGGGCACCTGGGATTAAGGCGTCGATGTCAAGGGATATTCACAGTGCAAGCAGGAAAGAGTCTAAGCAAGGTTGTCTATGTTGTAGTCAGCTGGTCATCAACCAAGAGCTAAATATATAGAATTCTAAATATAGAGCTTTTTTTCTTAGGTTCTTAAAGAAAGGCAAGAACTTTTTTCTTCAGTCTAGGGGGATTATGGCTTCTTGTAATCCTCAGCCCATCCCAATAAAAAAAAAATTAAGGATTATAAGAAAATTAACCATTAAATTGTAAGCCTATTTAAAAGTAAAACTATCAGATAGCTAGGCAAAAGTTATAAATAATCAAAAGTTATAGCAACTTAAGGACAAGAGTACTTACTTTTTTTGGAGTCCCTAAAACTTGGCAAATTTTAAAGATTTCATCGACCTCACTTGTCCCTGGGAAAAGTGGTCTTAATGTATATAGTTCACCCATTATACTCCCAACAGCCCACACATCAATGGGAGAGCTATAAACTGAAGACCTTAACAAAACTTCGGGAGCACGATACCTATGAAAATAGAAAACAAAACAAAACAGACTATTTTGATTGTAGTTTCAAAGATCGAGTGGCAATAGGACTTTATTCTGTTTGGCTGTGCATTTCAGTCAGGAACAGGTATTAAATGCCTTCTGTGCATCAGGCATTTGCACAATGTGCTGGGGTTCGATAGAACATAACACATTTTCCCTGACCACAAACAATTAGTGGGGCTGGAGACTAATATAAATAAAATGTTCAAATAGCCTAAGATAGGAACTCAAACAAATAAATATGGAAATAGGTGCTAACTGATATCTTAAAGAAAAGGAGGAAAGCTCTGAATGGAAGCAGATAAATTCTGAATGGAAACAGTTGTATAATTTTACAAAGCATTATATCCATGATATATTCATATGAAGAGCATAAAATAAAAGATAAAGATTATCCCTGAGTAGTGGGGTTTTTACTTTCTTTTTGTTTATCAGTTTGAAAGTGCTGATATTCCCACGAATGACTCAATTTCTTCATGTGACAATATTTTTAATTGCGAAAACTACTCTAAAGCAAAGGTATCTGGTGGAGGATAGTCTCAGTTCTCTTTTTTCCACATTGAAATGTGTCAATATTTCAGCCGAAATGTTCTGAAGTATTGTATTTTTGTTACCAGAGTAAAGCTTCATTGAGATGTAATTCATATAATATGCAATTCATCTGTTTAAGTATATGATTCAATGCCTTTAAGTATATTCATGCAGTCGTCACAATGTTTTAGAACATTTTCATTATCTCAAAAAGAAACCCCATATCTCTCCAATATCCCCTATGCTGCCAGCACTAATTTACTTTCAGTCTCTATAGATTTACCTATTATGGACATTGCATATCAGTGGAACCATATACTATCTAGTCCTTTGTGACCAGCTTCTTTCACTTAACATGTTTTCAGGGTTCATCCACATTGTAGCAAGTATCAGTACTTCATCCATTTTATTGCCAAATAATAGGGCATTGTATGGACATAGCAACATTTCGTTTATCCATTCATCAGCTGATAGACATTTGGGTTGTTTCCAGTTTTTGGCTACTATGAATAATGCTGTTATGAATACTCATGTACGAGTTTTTGTGTGGATGACTGTTTTCATTTTTCTTGGTTATATACTTAGATGTGGAATTGCTGGATCAATCGACAATTAATCACATGGTAACTATATGCTTAACCACTGAAGAACTGCCAGACTGCTTTGTACCATTTTATACTCCCCGCGGCAAATGTATGAGGGTACCAATTTCACCACATCCTCGCAAAATCTGTTATTATCTGTTTTGATAAATATTGTTATAAGTCAAAAATTATTTTGAATTTTTTTGCCAAATTTAGATGTTGAAAATAAGTCTTCAATTGCATTCCATTTCAATATAGCATCTACATTTACCCAAATGAAAACAGAAGCTCCTTCAAAAGATCCTTCCTGAAAAAACAGATTTTCTAAATCAGTTCCTCCTCACATTTGTAGGGATAAATATCATTGTCTTCCTGTTTGCAAACTTCATTTTCAATAATCACAATTTGCTATAAGCTTCAAAAACTTTAGAGTTTTGGTACTCCATTTATCAAAATTTCTGATTGAAGATTTCTAAGTGACTTAAAACAAAATGCAACCATAATATAAAGGACTTGTTCACAAAGAAGCTAGATACCACTGTAAATCACCTAAATTGATTTATAAAGTAATTCTTTGAAGGATCAAACAATTCTAAAATTTGAGTGACGAAATAAAGAAAGCACATGCTGCCATGCTGAAGCATATTTGTAGTCAACATCAATGTCATCATAAAAATTTTATAGTTAGTGACTATGTGTATATATATAAATTATAAATTCTGACAACTATAGCTGTCATTTTGATTGGTAGAATATAAATGTAACGGCTTATTCGGATACAGTTACAAGACAGGCATCTTAACCAATCCAAAATCATTTCTGCCTTCTAGGTTTTTTGATTTATTAAAGACACTTTTTATGATGCTGTGTTCCACTAACATTTGTATTATCACTGCAAAAACTAATTTATCTTCAATGCTGAACTTTTTAACTGAAATTACAATAGCATTTGTAGTGATATCAGACATTTCACCTCTCTCCGAATGAACTTCCAGAAATTTTACTTTTGATTCTATGATTGCAATGAAAAAAATCAAACTATTATTAGAAATGAGGGAATCAATTTTTCTCTTTAGATATTCTTTTAAAACTGGCATTGTGAAGTTCTTCCTCTGCTAAAGAAGCCTATACATTCACAGGCAATCACTTTATTTTTCACACCTGCATAAAACTTGGAATTAAAGGAGCGAAATTAATTTATAATATTCATTTCACGTAAATGAAGAGCAGTGCCTCACAGAGTCATGTGTAAACTCATCTTCTAAAGCTGTATTGCTAATGACTGTCTTTGGCATAGTCTTCTTAAAATATCTACTAACTTTTTAAAATAGATGCTGGTGCTGCTTCAGCAGATTTGTGTGTTCTGGTTTTCACCAGGTCAGTGATTTATGGCTCCTGTAGTGGAAGGCAAATGCCAATGAACATTTTATGTGAGTTCATCAGCAGCTTCTCTTGAGAAAGAGAAAAATACTTAATTTTTCACTAAATATGCACTTTTGATTTTTGAAAGTCATTGTTGATAAAAGAGTTCATTGCAATATAAATTTTTTAAAAGCATTACCACATATATTAGTTTCCTAGGGCTGCTGTAACAAAGTGTCACAAAACGGATGATTTAAACCTAAAGAAACTTACTCTCTCACAGTTTTGGAGGCTGGAGCAAGGTGTTGATAGGGCCCTGTTCTCTCTGAAGTCTCTAGTGGAGAATCTGTCCTGTGCCTTTCTCCTACCTTCTGGTGTTACCAGCAATCACTGACATTCCTTGGCTTGTGGACACATCGGTCCAATTTCTGCCTTTATCATCATATGGCTTTCTCCCATCATATGTCTTCACGTGTCTTCCCACAGTGTGTGTCTGTCTCTGTGTCTCTTCTTTTCTTAATAAGGACACTAGTAATATTAGATTATGGCCCACCCTACTGACCACATCCTAATTTACTTACATCTACAAAGAAACTATTTCCAAGTCAGGTCACAAGGGCTAAGACTTCAATGTATCTTTTGGGGGGACACAATTCAAACCATAACACCAAACAACAAAATAGTTATAGATTTATACTATGTAATAATCACTATAAAATGAATATTTAGGCCACTGTCTATATGTCCTACAAGTATCCTATTGAGTGTTTATTTCCAATGCTCATTTCTTGTACACCTAACCTATAACTTCCTGTGTTTCTCATGATTCCACCAACCTACATCTCAAAGGTTATGGCAAGTGGTTTGTATGCCATGTGCCTGGCAGGAGAAACAGTATCAAATACTATTCCTATTCATGCCCAAGATGAACATTGGCTGAGAACTGCTCTTGTTTAAGCACATTTTGTTACATTGCTTCAGGAAAGATTCGGATAATGAGACAGGAAATCTCCAAATTAGCCATATGTCAAAGCATGAACTTGCTTCAGTATTCACTGTTCACATATCTCTCGCATTACAAAGTAAGGCCATGGAGGAAGAAGGAAGCATACTGTGGCAGTCTCTCACACCTATCCCAGATCATTTTTATTAAACTATTGATAACAGGCATTGGCTGAAACTATCCTGGGCAAACGGGGGCATATGGTCACTCTAGACTCAGTCCTCAGACCTCTTCTCTTCTCCAACTATACACGCTCCCGTAGTGACCCCATCCAATCGTATGACTTTTATCACTGAGGTCTCCCAAGTTTATATCTTCAGCCCAGCCCTCTCCCCTGAATTCTAGATCACAGATCCAGTGGCCGACTTTGACATCTCCCCTCGGTTGTCTCATAGCAACTTAACCCAAAACTGAACTGTGCTTCTCCCCCAGGAGCTCCATAGCATTCTCCATCTCAATTAGTGCTGACTCCATCCTTCTAGTCACTCAGGAGAAAAACTCGTGAGTCCTGACTCCATTATCTGATTCATCAGGAACTTATGTTTTCTCTACTTTAAAAACATATTGAAGCATCCTACCTCTCACCACCTCCATGGCCACCAGATCCAAGTCATTATCATTTCTTGCCCAAATTATTGGAACAGCTTCCTACCTGGTCTCCCTGTTTCTGCCCTTGCTCCTCTAAAATCTATTTTTAATACAACATACAGAGTGATACTTTTAAAACATATCCAATCACATCGCACCTCTTCTCAAAATTCTCCAGGGGCTCCCCAGTTTGCTCAGATTAAAAAACTACCACAGTCTTTTCAGTGACCTATGAGATCTGGCCACCTCTAAACATTCTAACCTCATTTTCTACTACTGCCTCTTAATTCATCCTGCACTCTGCAGAGCCTACACATGGTACTGCTGCGTCAAGGCCTTTATCCTCGGCATTTTCTCTGCCAGAAAAACTCCTGCTTGCCCCAGCAGGTCCTCCGGGGCTTTTCTCAGAGAGATCCTCTATTTAAGATAGCAACATTCCCTTTTCTTCCCTTATTGATCCTAATTCGCTGTCCCTTTCCATATTTTATTTTTCTCCATAATAATGTATCATCATCTGACATACGAATATTCTTAACTTGTTTTTATTAGAGTATAACATACATACAGAAAAACATACAGCCTGGTGAACTTTCACAACAGAACACATCCATGGACCAGCACCTCAATCAAGAAACTGCATGTTATCAGCATCCCAGAAGGCCCCTCTCCTGCACCCATCCAGTTCCTACTACCCTCCAACCCCACTATGTAACTGTTATCCTGACTTTTAACAGCATAGATTAGTTTTCTCTATTTTTTCACTTTATATAAATGGAGTCACACAGTATATGCTCTTTTCCTATTTGGGCTCCTGCTCTCAACATTGTATCTGGGAGATTCATCCATATTGTTGCATGTAGTTATAGACTTTTTGTTTTCATTGCCATAAAGCATTTCACTGGATGAATATATCATGTCACTGGTTGTGGACATTTGGATAGTCTGCAGTTTAGGACTATTACATGTTTTTAGATGAACATGTGTATGTCTTTCTGTTGGTAACTCATGATATTTGTATATTGGTTGTCATGTAAGCAGAATGAGGTAGAGGTTTTTATTTTTCTGTTTACTTCACTTCTGTGTTCCCAGTGCCTAAGATAGTATCTGGCACATAGTAGGTGCTCATTAAATATTTGTTGCATAAATAAATGGATGAAATCTTTTTCCTTCTTATTTCATAAATTAGTATAGTTTGAACCAATCTTTTCTCCAAAGCATACCAAATTCATTTCTATACTTTGTTTTCAATACTTGATATGGAACCTCCAGAAAGATATATAATAATCCATTGCAGGAAAACTTCAACACAGACATATGCCTCTGGAGAGCTGCATAAAACTACTAACCATCTGGTAGATACATAATCAGTATATGGTGGCTGTGACCTTAATTCTCTTGCAAGTCCAAAATCAGCAATTTTCACAAGTTCTGGACCCATGCAAAGCAAGTTTTCTGGTTTCATATCCCTATGAAAAAAACCTGGTAATATAGAGAAGAAAAACAATAATAAATCATCATGTTTAAACATATTTGACTTATAGACAAAATATAACTGAGCCTCTCTGTTATGTAATTAAGAATGTAAACTTAGGAAAAAAAATACCATATTTATTGTCTAAAAAGTGATAGGAGGTAGGGACTCTGCTTGCAAAATAATTTGGCAAGAAAGTTCACATAGCATATAAGGTCACTAAAAATAACATGTATTTCTATTTATGAATCCAGTAAGTTCAAGCTCTGGGCTAGAAACTGCCACATTATAATTATCTCCCATTAATCTGCACAACACCTTAAGGAGGTATTATACGATCACTATTATGTCACAGATGAGGAGGCTGAGACCCAGAGAGAAGCAGCCTAATTAAAGCTTGAGGAGGGCTGTGTCATCAAGCTTCGGTCAGTGCAGGTCTCTTACTGCTGCTCTATCACACTGTAGCTTAACAATGAGATTCTCTGACTACAATTGCTCATTTGAAAAGTCCATTAGACAAAAATGGAACTCCATGCATTTTAACCAATTTATTCACTTAAAATGATCACAGCTCAGTTCTTCCCTGGTATCTGCTTTATTGAAACACTCAATAATTATAATGCTTATTTACTAATCAATATACAAAATAAATGGTTAGTTATGGAAGCTAAAAGGTAGCCCAATGAAAATGAGGCAGAAACCCCAGAAAGAAGAAAGTCATGAAAGCCCTCCTTGAAAATTCCTAAGAGAGATCTAAAGCACACTACTTGTACACAGATGGCTTGTATTCTAATGACCTTACAAGGTGGGAAAATAAAGAATGGGTCTGGTCATCATGAGAGGGTTTTCATGTAGCTTTGGGCTAGGAAGACAGTCTCAGCCTATAATTCCTGCAAAGCCATCGTGGGCTCTACATTTGTGACATCTACAATATTTTGAGTTCAGTTTATCTGATACTTCTTATACAAAATAGCTATTAAGATCCATTTCATGAACTTTCAAGAGAAATACATTGTATTCTCATAATATGAAGATATGAATGGGAACACATGATGGTAAAGTGACACTAATCCACAAAACCTTAGAATTTAACCAATTACACATTTCTACAGTTAAGATTTTCCCCATCCTCCCTAATATAAATATATTGGAAACTTGGTCCTATTTTAACTAAAATTATTAGTCTTATTTTTTGACAGCTATTTTAAAAATATTTTCTCAAAATATTACATCTGAGATGCTTATCAACTATAGCAAAAATAACTACGTTTTGCAAAAATGTCTATTGTTCTTAGAGTCTTGTTTCCCAAGTCATTGTGTAGTCAATTTTGTAGCCAACTCTAGATTATGTGTTATTTACTTTCAGCAGCAATTTTTAAATCTCAAGATAACTTTCTTCAATCTCTAGTGCTCTGAAGTTGCTGATAGTTGATATATTTCAAGAAATCTAAGTCAATTTTATTACTAGTCTAAAAAAATATTAATAAAACACAAAGCTCTTTCCAAAAATCAGACAATTCATGAGGCGTTTGATTTTCCACATCACACTTGCTTCCATAAATTAACTCGTGCAAATATCAGGTGTTATCATCTGACCAGAGTTTAAATAGCATACTCATCCAGTTCTATATTTTGGGCTGAAGATCAGGAATCTATTATGAACAATTAAGATAGCATACATTTTTTAATTTCCATGTATTAATAAATGATTGACTTTTTCCAATGGGTTGTATGTTATCATGGGTTTTCTACTTTTAAAGACCTTAATAGTTAATATAAGACAAAACACCGGGGATTAAGAAATTTTCTTACAGTGCTTACATGGAATTCTGCATAGTATTTTTTGAAAATAAATTATTTCCTATAGCAATTAGGGGAGAAAGGAGAAAAGAAAATATAAAATATAAGATGAAATATGAAAGGAGACTAATGATGGTGATTTTTCAATGCCTATAATCAGAATGCAGCAATAGTATAGTAGAAATTTTTCTAATTTAATATCTAAACATCTAATGATTCTAAATAAATGTCACTAAAATTTTTCATAATAACTATACTAACTTTCTGGACTAATAATTTTGGCTTGATAGCTATGAAAAAAAATTAAGAGTACATAAATAAGGAATTCATAAAAATAAAAACAAGCACTTGCTTTAATTTCACTCAAAGAATAGAAAAAACTAAATGTAAATACTAAAGAAAACTATAAAATATCATAGCATGGGTAATTTAAACTACCTAAATGTTAATAATTGGTCTTGGTAGATCAAAGCATTACAATCATTTATAAAAGGAGGACCTTATTTGTCTATCTTTTTCATTTCCATGGTAAAATTTGGGGGAATAAAGTTGCAGGATGGGTTATGGTGGCTGAGATTGAAGGCTGATAATCAAACTATCAAAAATTCTGCTATAGAGGAAGATAGTTATAGATTATAGAAATTTTATTTTATATAAAATGATAGAAAGTCTAAATTTTAAAAATAAAAATGTCAGAGTGTGTAGGAACCTACTCCAAACTTGTAGTTATCTAAATACAATATGATTTAACAGTGTATATACAATTCCTCTGCTTACTTTGATAATAATCTAAAGAGGTAGGAAAATGAAACTTAAACCTACCATGTTTATGGATAAATGCCAGCCCTTGCAATATTTGATACATAATATTTCTGATGACTGACTCAGGGAACAACTTGTTTCTGTGAAGAAATGAACAAATAAATAGTCATGTAATTTTGCTAACCAACCAACCTACCTAAACAAATAAGAAGGTTCCTCCTCCCTTGGAGGCCCTGTTGGCCTCATGATACTGGCTAATGGTATGATTTATAGTTTTATAGCATTAAAGGTCATAAATTTAAAACATGAGTATTAGAATTATTTTTGTTTTGATGTGTGGTAAACACTCAAATCCAGTATTGAATGCATTGTACAAATATTCAATAGCTAAATTCTAAACTGTCCCAAAGGAGCAAAGTAAACTGGAAAACTGATAACTTTCAGGTAAGCCAAGTGTGCAAACCTGTATTATATAGGCTTTAAGAGTTTTAAGGGCATAACTGCTTCAGTTCTATAGGGTGCATTGGTACTGTCCAATATAAATATAATAAGAGCCACAAATGAGAACTACTTATGTGTTTAACAATGTGTTTTATTTAAACTAATGTATATGAAATGTTATTTTAATATGCAATCGATATTAAAAATGCTAATGAACTTACATTATTTTTGTACCAAGTTTTCAAAATCTAGTATGTGATTTATTTTACATTTACGGTACAGCTCAATCCAGACCAGCTATGATTCAAAATAGCCACATGTGACTAGCAGCTACTGTATTGGACAGTGCAGCTTTATATGGTATTTACATAAAGCCTAAAGTGAGATCCAAATAAGGCTAAATTAAGGCTGAAAAATATTAATCAATAGCATGCCACAAATTAATGTGGTTGACATTAATTCTTTGACCCCGAATTAATTATTCTTTGACCCTGAAGCCATGCTATGTTTTGGAAGAAATAATTTTAAGCTTTTCAACTTTATGATAATTTCAACATTTTCTAACATCATTATTTCATCATGATTGATTGAATTAATTTAGAGTGTTTATTCAAATGTTCTCAACATATAGAAAATGGCCTCTTTTTTAACATCATATTGTTAATTATATTATATTTTTATATAATATTCCAAAATGTCCCACCAAATGGGTTAGAAACATACAATAGGCAGAGAAAGATAACACTGGTCTTATATCAAATTTGAAAATAGTATAGACCAAATATTATTGAAATATTTTAAAAACTCACTCGCTTTCATAAACTATACATTTTAAAAGAAACAAAATACCTTTATCCTTGCCAAAAATTTAACTTTGTAAAAAATGATACTCTATGCTGAAGTTTATATAATAAGAACAAAGATTTATGTATATTGGTCTCCAATTGAAAAGGGAAAGTTTATTTGAATAAAAAAGGCTTTTAAATTAGTCTTGATTATCAAAACAATGTTTCAAGAAGTTACGCTACCAAAAACAAAGTATAAAAACTACTTAATTTCAAATAGCCCTTTAACATATACACTTGTTAATGGTTAAATTTATACCTATGCCATTGAATAATTTTCTAAATAATTATTTCCTTTAATTTAGAAATCCAGAATTGAATCATGAAATTCCAAAGCTGATTCTTTTTAGTGTTCACTTGCTATCACATTAACAACTATAGATATATATGTATATATGTGACATATATATTAAAATCAGATGAAAGTACATTTCATGCATTTCTATGTACTGTGTACTTATTTCTTTTCTTCAATAACTACATCTCAGTATATCATGCATTTATCATTTCATACATTTTAAATGACATAAATTATTATTAGAAGACAAAAACTTAAGGTTATCTATAATCTCACCACCTTATTAAAATACTATTTTGATTTTTCAGTATTCTAATCCAGTCCTAATCCAACTGCGTATATAACTTTTATATTAGGTGTAACTGTTACATAAATACAATTTAGGTTTGTTTTTTATCCACTTACAGGTAGTTTCGTAATTTTTATAATTATCACTTTTAATGGCTATAAAATGATTCTATCAATATTATGCAGTGTAACTACCAACCTGTTCTCCCACTGATAGCTATTTTTTAAAATAGTTCAAAGTGCTAAGTGAAGTTTGGTATAGCCATTCAATAGAACATACTAACTATGGTAATTATGAAGATGATGTATCAGCATAAAAATGCCTGTAAGTGAATGAATCAAATAAAAAATGTATCACCACTAAAATTACAACTATGCAAAAAGCATGCATGCCTGTATATAAAAGCTAGAGACTCTAAAAAAATAAACACTGATTTGAGAGGTAGAAATCTTTACTTTTATTTTAACCGATATTAATTTTATAATGATATAAGCCTGGAACATCACAGGCATTTAATAAGTATTTTTTGAAAGAAGGAAAAATATGATTGAAGAAAAACTCACTCACCATCCTTAGGCCTTGAGTATGTATGTGTGTGTATGAAAGAAATACAGAGAGAAATCAACATCATTCCACTGGGAAATTAATTTTTAAAGTATTTTAGGATCTTTTGCTGAACAACTCTGGCTTTAAAAGCAGGCAAAATTTTGGACATTAATCTCCCAGATGTGACCAGCAACTACCACCAAAATATTATCCTCCCCAAACTCACAGCAGATTACTAAAACTCTCCTTCTTTAGATTCTGTTCATAGGATTAAAAATTACAATGAGATTTTCCTTAGGATGGGTAACACATAAGGTTTCACTATTCACTTAAGCATTCTATGAATGAGTTTATTAGATCCTTTTCTGAAAGCTACATCATTCCTTCCTCAATCTTTCATTAACCTTACACAAGGTGCTTGGGAGACCAATGAAGTTAATTTTCTCAATTTTGCCCAAGGCCAGCTTTATTACTGAGTATTAAATTATACATAGAATTTTGTTTTAAAAAGTATAGATAGTATGTATGTTTATGTGACATGTTTATCTTGACCTTTAAGAGATTACAGCAGAAAAATGGTACCTATATCACAGCTAGTTCTTCAGTACTTGATAAAAAAAAAAAAACTAATTAATTTAAATCCACTGCGTAGAGAGGTAAATCTGTATATTGTAAAATGTGATGTATTGAAGGGATCCAAGGAACTTATGGAGGAGACAATAGAAGAAAAACTACAGTTATCATAAAATACAGACATACCTGTCTTTCATTAATTGATAGAGGTTTTCTTTCATATATTCAAATATAAAATAAAGATGGTCATTTTCTCTGATAACTTCTTTCAATTTAATCACGTTGGCATGATTAAGTTTCTTCAGAGACTGCAACACAGCAAGTAAGCATTAAAATTATTACAGCAAAGTTATAGAAGTTGACAAAATCTCATCAATACTAGGTATGATAATTACCTTATGTAATTTTCCATTTCTTCTGATTTCATTAATGAATTAAGTTTTAATATCTATAATATTGTACATGTCTAAAACATCTGTGAACATCTATTTAAAGTAAGCATTAATTGTTTTAACTAATGAATGTAAGTGTAAAAGTAAACAAAGTCAATAATAACTACCAAACATTTCACTTTTTTTTCCTTAATCTATTATATAAGTCTAACTTTTTCTGACTTCACATATGAAATTCCATGCAAAAGTCTTCAAAATTTTATCCAAGTCATACAGCATAAAATACAAAGAAGTGTTATGTAGTAATTTAAAAAGGTGTCTTTCCTTTGATAACATAAGTTAAAATGCTTTTAAAAATGAGAGTGTACTGTCAAATATGAGGATATAATTATTTTCTGTTCTCCACTGACATTCCAATGAGAAATGAGAAATTACTTTAGAAAGATAAATGAAAAAATGTAAGAAATATAATTATCTTTGGACCACTTTTCACAGAAAAAAAAGAATCATCTCCTTAGCAACCATCCTCAGAAATGAGATAGGTGTGAGGTAAAGTCTTTCTCCAGTTCTTTTGCCTCTAGGATTCTACCTTAACTTCTCTCAAGTTCATACATTCATCCCAAGAATAGAACTTTCTCTTCATCCTGAAATAAAAAAAGATAAGTTTAATGTACAGGAGATCGAGGATTTGAAAACATAAATTCCACCATTGGCTTTCTTCCTCTGTTACTAGCACACTTTGGGCAAGCTATGATATCTCTTCCCTCTTCCTTAAAAACAAATCACCTCCTTTCTATATATCTCAAGGCTACTTGGTACAAATTCACAATTATTCATAGCTGAAATTCTGCATTAACACAAAGGTGAAAGGATTACCATTAATCTTCCTTTCCGGGTGAGTTCCTATATTTCTCTAATTAGTTTAATTGTGCTTTTCTAAAAGGGCTTTTTCCAAATTTCCTTTCTTTCTAAAACTTAAAAAAATATGAATACTATAATCAGGTGGAGTGGGGAAAAAATTACAAATTTTGGTACCAAATTTAGTACAATGATTTGATCTGACAACTTCTAAATCATTTCCTCAGCTTTAAACAAGAGACCCACAAAGTTAAGTGATTTAAATCAGCAAAAATTCAGAAGTAAACAAATTTTAGAGATAGCTTTCTTGAATTTTGTTCTTTACTTCTCCTCTTTCATCCCAATGTTGGTTATCATTAGAGATGAATATATAAAATATGAATTTAGAGTAATAAAGTAATTCCGCTATGTGTACTATAGAGATTATACTATTTATATGAATGGATTTTAGTCACCATACAAAATAGGAGACAAGAGAAAACAAGAATTCATGTTCTTAAAATTGTTTCTTCAGGTATAGAAATTACAAGGCTGAATTATGAAAAATAAAAATCCTATATGCCCTAACTGCTTTCATTTAGTATTATAATCTCCTATGGAGATTATTCTGGAAGATTCTCAGGAAGCTTAAAGTCATCCTTATTAATTAAATTAATTCCTATAGGAATTACTCTGAGCTTCTACAAGAGTGTAATACACAGGGGTAAGGAAATAAGTAAAGGAAAGGCAGCATAAAGATTTTATAACACACCCTGGCGATCAAGCATGTAGCTGTGGACTTGCACTGCTTGGATTCACATCCTCACTCAGCAGCTCACTGATTATATGGCCTTGGATGAAATACTTAATGACCTCTCTGTGCCTCAAATTCCTTAGCTATAAAATAGAAACTACTGCATAAGAAAGCTTATTGTAAACTGCTTAGTTCAGCACTCAACAAATACTAGATGTACCAAAATTTATGATCGTCTACAGTAAGATATGAAGGGCATTACTGCTATTACTTCTAAAATATCCTTAGTGAATCAGAATTTCATTTATATTCATTCAATGAGTATATATGCTACAAATTTATGAAGGAGCTTGAAGAAATTGAGGGCTTAGTGGTTTACCAAAAGATACTTTTCAGTGTTATAGATTTATTTATAAATGTCTTGCTAAAATGATAAAGGTAAATCTAGGACAATGATCAATTTAAAATAAAACAGAAGTCAAATCCAACATAGCTATAAAATTTTAATAAAGTGATCAAATCCATCCCTGGCATCATCAAACTCCAGATTTCCTGATTCTTAAAATGTAATTACACAATTTTTTAAATCCCATTTTTTAGAGATTAGATAATATATTCAAATTCATTTTTAGAATTTAGTACAAATTAAAACATTTTCATTCTACTTGAAAATCTGTACTAGCTGCATCCACATACACTTAATATGTTACTTTCTTTCCAGCAGTTAGTTCTCATCAATACTCCTCTAAGGAAATGCACATATCTAACTATCATTCCCTAGAATGAATCGTGTTATATTTTTTTAAAATGGCATTAGATAACACAAGATTTCTTACCAGCGATCTAAATTAAGATTTCCCAAAGGAAATTTTCAGAAAGATACACTTTATCTTGTTCTGTACAGTGTTCTCCCAACTTCTAAGCACTTATCCTCCAACTCATCCTACCCAGTTTTGATTGCATTTTTAGACTGCTTAAAAGTTGCCCACTGCTTACTGAATTAAGTACGAACTTTCTATGTTGATATTCTCACATTATACCAGCCTCTTCATCATCTACCCTCATTTTTTCTGGCCATCTCTGTGCCATACTAGTGCTCAGCCTCTTCTCTACTTCAGTCCTCAACATCATTCTTAACTGGGAATGTCTAATTCTAATAGCCGCTCACAAACCCAACACCTAACTCCTGATTCTTCTGTTTAGAAGGCTTTCAGAATGAAAAATACCTTCTTCCAGATAATCATTTCCCTTCAAGGGGATATGTTTATTACTCATTTTGAAAATTAAGGATAGGCAGCTCTTTATCTGCTACACAAAATATGTTCAAACTGAAGGTTCTGATCAGATATTATGGAATATAGGTTTTGGTAAAAATAGGGATAAATTGAGAATGGAGACTACGGGATCTACTGTGTGTAATTTTCAGATAAAGTTTATTCCTTTGCCATCAACCTTAAGAGAAATGGCAGAGGCTTCTGTATGACTCTTGTAGGCAATATAAGTTCAAAAACTATCCCTTAGATTGTCTTGTCCAGAACCTTAAGAAGTAATGGCTATAGTGAACATTCATATCAATAATCATGCCAGCAGCCTGGCTTCACAGTTCCTTAACTCCAAAGAGATGTTCACCTCTATCCTCCCATAGTCACTCATAAACACCTTGTCGTCATGAGGAGTGGTTTTACTCTCTAAGATCTCAACCTTTAAAACCTCATACTCTGACCATGAGCTCCTATCCTTTTACCATTACTACCATTGGATTGGCTAGTTACATCCACTTGTTCAAAACTTGATTTTGCTTGCCTCCTCATCCAGCATGGATCCCATAGTTCACCTTTCCACCACTATCCCCTCGAGAGCACATACATATTCTGAATGTCTCCCTCTCAGCATCCCACCACTCCTATTTGCTGTCCTCCGGTCTCTGGTCTCTGCACAGATTGGTGAAGACAGGAAGAAGAGTCATGTAAATGCCCCTACTAGGTCCACTTTAGTATTCAGGCCATGTAATCTCAGATGGATTCTTACTAATACTTGGCAATCCTACAACTTTCTTAGCTACTCAGTAACCCATCCTCCACAACTATTCACAGCTCAATGTTTCCACTACCCCATCTTTCATTATTCCTTACCCTACTGCAATCTGGTTTAACACCACAGCTATTAATTATGTTATATTCTCCAAATCCAAGGAACGCCATGGCAGATAATATTGTTTGGACACCAGAAGGCCACTTCTAGCCTTCTGGTATAGAGGCTGGAAGAGTAGATAACTCACTTCTCAGCCTCCCTTGGACACAAGGGAGATTGTGTGATCCAGTTCTAGACAATAAGCTGTGAGGGGAAGTCACTTGGGGGCTTCTGATAAAGAAATTTTACTTCCTAAAATTATTTGAGAGAAGAGTTTGCTGGTATTATTCTCCCTTCTTCCCACCTTGAACATAATAATGCCTAGAAGTAAAATAATCACAATATGGCCATTAAGTGACACATTTGAAAACAAACAAATGCCGGCAGCTCAGAATGAAGAAGACAGAAAAGGCCTGGATTCAGTACAAGGTTGAGCCATTGAAAGAGCCCTGGAATCATCAAACTCCAGATTTCCTGATATGTAAGCAAAACTCCTTATTTAAGCCATTGGTTCTGTCCCTTGCTACTAATTTATTTATTACTTGCAGGAAGAAGCATTCCTAACTAACCCAGATGCTTTTCTAGTCATTAGATATTACTTGTCTTCTAATTAAGCACTTTTTCTTTTAGATCTTTCTCTTGAGTCCAGATATTTTCTACACTGTCCTGGTTTTCTCTCTACTTCTCACAATTCCAGGGCCCATCATTTATATGCTGGGGTTCCTTAGTGCTCTATATGAAGACCTCTTTTCTTCTCATTTTGTATAGTTTATTATCACCTATACATTAACAATTTCTAAATCCACCTCTGTTTTTGAATTTTAATGGAAATATTCAATTGCTTATATGCATCTCAAAGTCATTATGTCCAAAACTTAACTCAGCTTTACCCCTCAGCCTGTGATTTCCCCCTCCCCATCATGGCGAATGGTACCACTACTACCCATTTAAGCCAAAATCTCAGGAGTTAGCCTGGACTCTTCCCCATTCTTTACTCCTTCCTATAGAGGCTGTCTCCTAAATGTCCCTTGAATGCTTCCATTTATGCCCATACTCAATGATATTTTCCTAGATCAGGCATCACCACCCAAATCAAGGAGAGAGGCCTCACAAGAAACCAACCCTGCTGAAATCTTAATCAGACTCCTCCCCTCCAGAACTGTGAGGAAATCAATCCATTGTTTAAGCCCCCCGGTCTGTGGTACTTCGTTAGAGCAGCCCTAGCAGAATCATAGAATGGGCCACTTTGGAAGTGGATCTTCAGGCCCCTGTCCAGCCTTCAGATGACTGTGATCTTGGCCGACATCAGACTGCCACTTCATGAGAGACCCAGAGCCAGAACCACTCAGCTAAGCTACTCCTAAATTCCTGACCTACAGAATCTGTGTGAATTAATAAATGTTTGCTCTGTTTTAAATCACTAAGTTTTGGGATAATTTTTTTTTTACATGTAATAGATGATAAAGTAAATTAAGTTAATTCAATTAATTCAATTTAATTATTAAGCTTAGGGAATACCATATGCCATTCTGAACTCAATTTGATATTATAAATATCATCTGATGTTTAGGCCTACTGTTTTAAAGAAATAATAAGCTTTACTATGCACTAAACTTTAAATTTTAAAAACATTCCAGATATTATCTTCAGTTTCAGTTCAATTTATTATGCATAAAAAGCAGAGTATTTATATTTTTGATTTATCTGGACAAACCAGAAAATTTAAATAATGTATGTGAGAATCAACATTATTCGATTAATTACACATTAGCCAAAGAAGTATGGGGTCTAAATTAGACCTCTCTCTGTGCTTGTATATATTCTCAAGCAAGCAAAGGAAATGAAAGATCAGCGTCAAAGGTAAACTTTGCAGTGTTGCACACAGTACCTTTTGATGGCCACCAGCTCCCCAGATTCGTTACTCTTGCCCATCAGCACACTCCCATAGGTGCCATCTCCCAACTGTCTCATGGTTGTGTACCGGTTCATCTTGGAAAAATAATGTAGCAGAAGTTGTGGATCGCAATGACTGCTTTGTTGAATATAAATTTAAACGCTTCTTTTTTCAAATTTGTTTTTGCCCTTAGACTGTTACACTGGTGACAGGTTTGTCATCATTAACATAGGCTCTTCCCCAAGATTATGAAGGTTCATAAACTACAGCAATAAGGAATCTGGCAAGGAAACAGTGCTTCCATTATTATGAACACCCTACAAAAAATAAGAATAAAAGAAATTTTCATTAAAGAATCTCTTCAAAAATTCTACTGGTAATCTACAGTACAGGGGAAAATAATAAATATTAGAAATACCAGTGTGTTGAATATTTGTCAGCAAATCATTTGTGGAATAAAGTTTACTTAGACCGATAATATTTATTTGGAGAATGCTTCGTTTACATGATACTGTGCGATTTATTCCATGAATGTTCAATAAATATTGACTTAATTATTTATATTTCTTTTTTTTATTGAATATAATCTATATTGTTCCAAATCAGACCTTGGAAAATCACACATCTATGCTCTATCCATTCTTTGAATCAATTTCTGCATCATATTTAATTTGGCCTACAGTCCCTTATGTGAAACTTCTGAGCCAGATTTGTATGGAATCTAGGAATTTTCATATTTTAGATAAGTAATATGGTGCATATACCATATGTTATGTAATACCTCCCATTAGTCTCTTAATGTACCTGCAGAAAAATGTATGAAAAGTATACTAAGTAAATTAAATGAAAATTATAAATGGCCTCATGTCATTCATGTCATGTTTTGTTTCAAATGAGTTTACACAAATATTTTTAAAATATCGTCTTTCTGTGTTTCATGGATTTCAAAATTATATGTAAGGAATTGTGAATCTGTATATATATGAAAGGTACAGGTTTCAATAGGTTCTGATTTTATTAGTACAATTAAAGAAAAACAAAGCACTAGCCTTAGTGTCTACTTCATTCCAACAACATTCGTGTTTCCTTCCATTGTTTTGTCATAGTTCCACACTTCAAGGAACTATTTCTCAATTCATTCCTATTTATCATTCTTGTTTTGCTTTTAAAAATCTCTATCATTCTGTTACAGGGCTTTATGCTTACTTGTAGATGGTAACAAAACATTTGGCATCATGAAACTACTTTGTTTTATACTTTGGTACTTCATTCAAAGATTATTTTCTTTTCATGGTAGCACTGTTTCACTTCCATAAAAGAAAATAAAATCATTAAAATTGCTTCTCTATTATATGCATAAATTTAGGACCTATAAGGATGTGATATAGTTGTTAAAAGCACCCAAGACTTCCAAAAAACAGGCTTTCTACAAGTGTAGAGAAGTACATTAAAATTATGTTGCTTCCTATATGCAGAAATGTGTCCACAGGGAACTTTGGAAGAACCCAGTGGGGCTTTTCAATGACAAGGAGTGTGTATTAATTTATCATTTATTTTACTTCACACAAATAATAACCCCTTCAAAGACACATGTGAAATAATTTAGTCTAGGCTAGCTGTGAGGCCAAGATCTTGAAAAAGAGATCATGATAGTAGATTTCAGTTCTATTTAGAGGTTTCTTCATTTCATCTCTCAGCTTAAGTATGAGCAAACAGTCTTATCAAATGCCAGCAAATGAATCTCCATTTGCCTGAAAATGCAAGTTTTTTTTGCAAATGGCCTTTATACATAGATACAGGTTCTAAATATTAAGGTATTAATATAGAGAAAGGTACAGATTCTAAATATTAAGGTATTAATATAGGAAAAGGCAACATCTATTTGCAGGGTTCCTGACCAAAACATGTATTTTCTTTTCTTAATTGTTCCTTTATCTGTAGAAAGAAATAAAATTTTGAAAGATCTTTTGGCTTGTTTGTTTTATACTATGTGCTATGATTAAACAAACTATGGACTGAAATGTGTTTCTTCTGATCATTTAGAATTTTATTAAATCAGTGTTTTGCAATTTACTATTAGCATGTTAACCCACTTGACATTCTTTTCTAGCTACTCTATTTAGGGTAACATACACCTAACTCTTTTAAGGAACGGGTCCTCTCTATAAGTTTACTGAATAAGTAACAAAATAGAATATATATTTGTCCAAAAGGCCATGATGTTTACCATAGCATAAAATTGTAAAATAAAAATACAGAAGGATTAAATGACCTATCTCTGACCAATCAGAGAATCAAGATGGAGTCAGTCTAATACTTGCATTAGCTAAAAGCTGTGGTTGCTTTTTCTGTTTGTTTTGTCTAGTTTTAGTATAGTCCCTAACTTCTAAACAACCCTTTCTTATTGGCTTTTACAATCACTGATACAGCTAATTTTAAGGGCCCACCCCTCTTTGCTCCCAAAACATGCAGAATCTAACTTAAAACGAGAGCTGCACCACCCCCTGAAGATTCCTACCCAACTCCTTATCGAAAAACACCAAGATGCTACTGACAAACTGGAAAGTGCAAATGGTGCTCTCTACCTGACAAAACCCTAAGGCTACCTACATCTGGCTTATCCTATACCTGAGGACATTATAAAAATAATAGGCCAGAAGCAGTGAAGGGAAAGAAAATGTGAGTAAGGAAGAAAGGAGTCTACCTGGAGCTCCCATCATGAAAATTATTGTTTTAACCCACCCCAAAAATTAATTAAGAAATTTAATGAAATAATAGCATCATCTTTCCTTTGCAAATATGTTGCTATGCAACAATTATTTTCACGTCAACGTCTGAGGACAAGCATTGAGGGTCTGAGAGGTAGAAAGTAATGTAGGCAATTCAGGAAAAGGAGATACATTGCCTAATGAAAGAGGGAGCTGCCCAGGTGGAAAGAGTTCAGAGAGAAGAGGGTGCCAGAAACAGTAGTCAAAACTTTACCTTGCAGTGACTTAAGAACCTGCAAAAATGGAATTAATTGCCTCTTTCTTGTCCACTATTAAGACCGTCAACCATCAATCACCATCACCAGTTCTATTAGCGCAGCAGATCATTCAATCACTGTTGACTTTCTGCATTTGGCTTGGAAGCCCAAACAGTTATAGAGTGGCTATTTGGAAATTTCATTCCAAGCCTAACCAACCAACTTTCAAATACATACTAGAAACAAAGTCTGTTTCAAGTGAGGATGCCAATAGCATATGGAATACTTATATTCAGGAAAGAATAAACATGAAACATTACCATTTTCCAGCTTCTTTTGTTTGTGGGGTAGAGTGGTGAAGATTGTGGATATAGCATAGATTTTAAAAAGTCAGATTTTTGGCTCTGACAGCATCTGTCCCGCTTAAGCCCTACCCTACCTTTAAGTAAAGCAAATTTACATACTATGTTCCTAAATAAAAACTTTGGAAAGGCCTCTTCTGAGTGATATTAATTACAAATTAAATAGCTCTCCAGGGTAAGAAGCTGACCATTTCAGTTGTCCCTTTATCCCTCTGAAAATATAAGGACAATGGCCTAAAGAGGCATAGATATAAAAGTAAAGTTGTTTTTTTAATCATTACTCCCATGTACCTACTCACTGATAACACATAAACAGCAGCTTTTATCTGTATAGTAAAGCAAGGTCCTAAACAGAGACTGCCTATTAGTCCCCAGTTCACACACAATAATATTTCTCTACAAACTACATATATTCTTCTCTGTTGACCTATAGAAAGCTACTTCTGCAAAATAGGCATATATTAATATGATTTCTAATGTACATGAATATTTCCATATATATTTCCTTGTGTGTGTAAATATATATGCGCAACAGGACAAAATACAAGTACATGTAATATAATTACGATCTTCAACTAATTTAATGGAACTTGGAATTTTCTACAGTCAAGCTATGATAGTTACCTACTTTTCTATAGGTTAAACAAATCTTATATTCTGATTTGAAGAAAAAACATTTATTTAGAGTCTCAATTATAGACCTAGATTAAATAAACACCCATATAATTTCTCTCCCTTCTAGTTTTATTTTTATCTAAGTGCACAATTGCTGCTTGTCCAAGTGCACAATTATTGTAAACTTGAGCTTTATTCTCTACAGCTTCTGCCAGTTAAGAAGGGATTTAAATAGGATTAAAGAAGATTAACATAGAGGGCAAAGGGAGGGTAAAACTTGTGTCTGCCAATCTCTGAACACATACTGTTTGGATGTCTTCAACTTGTCTTTGTAGGACCTACTGTAATGATACCACGTCAAGGGTGGCATTACGTTTTTTAAAAAAGTAACGTCTTAAAAATCACTAAGTTGTTTAAAAAGCAAAACAGAAAAAAGATTTCAAACTAAGCAAGTCATATGTTTACAGAAATTAAAAGGGGAGCTTTTACAATGGGAAAACAAAAATTCCGTGTTAAAATATAAAAGCATTAGTGCTTTGTGCTAATATTCACAAATCATTTTAAAACTAAACAACAACAACAAAAAAACCCACCCTAACTAAGAGATCAAACATCCTTGCCCGAGACCAACCTCACGTAGGCAGTATGTGGCCGCCTTCAGAGGAAATATCTCCCTTCCCCATCACGCGACGGTGAACCGGAGGACCGGGGAGAGAGAGGAAGGCTAAGACTGAAAGGTAACTTTTGCTTCCACCACTATTTTGATTCAATGGCTTGTTTTTTCTGTTTAAAATAAGTCCGATAACTTTGATTCTACGAGAATTCCGTTGTTATTAGAACAAATGTCTGCTCATTTAAAAAGATTCTGGAAACACAATTACATAAATCTCTTTCGTTTTAGAACTAAGATTACAAACCACTAAAAACAAGTTTTATTGCTCCCCCCACCTTCTAATCCGTTTTATTTGCAGTAAAGAAACAGTTTTCGTTACACGGACGCTCTGATCCCTTTTCTCCAAACCGGGGCCTTTAAAAGACTTCTGCTTCCTTTTTTCTTTGTAGCTGTTCTGAACTCAATTCACTGCTTTACCGAGACTTGACCCTGCCTCTCAGTCCTAAAAGTAGTTTCCCCTTCAGCCCAAGCAGTAGAGGGAGCGGCGCAGGTGTGTGTGTAGGGGTGGGGTGGGAGGGAACCTAGGAAAGAAGTTCGGGGGCAGAAGTCCCTCAGATTGAGGATGTCCTGCCGTCATCCTCCCACCTGGGACCGACCCCCCTATCTAAAGAGCGCAGGAAAGTGGTCGAGGGGGCCTCGGACAGCACCTGCCGAAGTAGGCGCGGGCTGACCCCTCCCGCCAGCCTAGCTCCTCCCCGGATCTCCTCCCTCCTGTCCCTCCCCCTACCAGTGTCTAAGCCCCTTCTCTCCGCAGAGGTTGGTCCTAGTAGGACAGGACTCCGAGGGGACATGCTGGGCCAGCCTCGCAGGACAGGCTTGGGCTAGGTGGACGGAGGGTGGCGGCCCCGCAGCTGGCTCGGGATTACCTGCCTGCGCTGTGGCAGCTTTCCTTGTTCGCTCCCTTGTGAAGCTTTGGCGTCTTGTGTGTTTCATCTCCTAGGAAACGGCGGGGGTGCGCCAGCTCCTACGCAGCCTGTCCATTTACACCCCGCCCATAGGGGGCGTGGTCTAGCAGTACAAGCCCCGCCCAATCCTGCGTTTCCCGCTTCCCTGGGGCGGGGCTTCCTGGAACATCTGGGAGTGTATGGAACCCATTTAGATTTCTGCCATTTAGATCTCAGCCATTTAGCTTAAGGGCTTGGGAGAGTCTTGATTACCTTTTCAGTTCTTTATAGAAAGTTGGTTGGTTTGCCCTTTATTTTGTTTGGTTTTGCTTTGATTCATTCTACAGTCTCTTTTTAAAAAAAATTTTATAAGAGTTTATTTGAGTCAAAACTGATGATATATGCCAGGAAGCAAGATTTCAAGTACTACCCATTCTACAAAGTCTTGATTCACTAGATCTGGTTCCCAGACTTGGGAAGGGCAAGAGAAAGGCATATGTTTTCCATATACTTGTAAACTGCTCTTGTGTTTCGTTTCCTTACATTGGTCAGTTACTGGGGTATGTATTATCTCCTAGGCCATACTTCTAAGGTTGTTTTCATTTATTCATTCAGAGAACCTACTCAGTACCAGTGTTAGATCATGGTTATTACAAGATAAATGAATGTGTAAATAAATGAGCAAATAGTAACTAGAGTTGCGAGAGGAGGGTGCACTTGTGTTACTGAAAAAAAAGTTCAGATTGGATAGCAAAAAGGATCTATAAATCAGAAGCATGATACATGAGGCAATGATGTATCCATTTAGTAATTATCTGTTAGGAATCTGGCTCTGGCCTTGGCACTGAGAATAATGCCAAGGTAGCAAGACAGACATGCTCATGACTCTCTCAAAGCTTAAAATGAAATAGGATGGCAGAGTAAAAAGCATAAGTTAGATCATGAGGGTCTTACATGCACTCATGACTCTCTCAAAGCTTAAAATGAAATAGGATGGGAGAGTAAAAAGCATAATAAGTTAGATCATGAGGGTCTTACATGCACCGTTACGAAGCCTAAGCCATACCATGCGACAATAGAGGACCACTGAAGAATATTCCACAGAGGAGTGACATGTTCGCATTTGCATTTTAGAAAGATTACAAGAGCAGCAGTGCATAGCTGGGTCTGAGCAGTGAGTCTGAGGGCAAGAGAAAGAAAAAGAGGATACTGTAATTTATCAGGAAGAAATGATGAGGATCTGACTATAGCAGTGATGATGGAAGTAGGACAGAAAGAGACAGATTTCAAGGGATATTTAGGCGTTAAAGTTGACAGGACCATAAGGCTTAGATGAGAGATAGTGGTATCCACAACCAAATTGGAAAATGTTGGAAGAGGAACAGATTTGGGGAGAGAGGGTAGGAAATAATAGGCCCAATTCTGAAAATTTTGTGTTTGAGAAAAATCCAAATGGAGGTCACAAGAAGGCAATCTGAGATACAGATTTTTAACAGGGTTATGTCAGAGCTGGAAATACAGATATATTGGACTACTGTAGATGAAGTCATGGGTGTGGATGAGATAAATTAAGAAGAAAAGAGGGCTGGAATTCTGGAAAACTCCATCTTCTAAAAACTGGGGAGAAAAATATGGAGATGAAGGAGAAAGACTAACAAAGGCAATTTAGAGATGCAGTAGGATATCTCAAAAAATATTTCAGAGCAGGTGGAGAAGTGGTAGGTTTTAAATTAAAAAAAGAGAAAAGAAGCAAGGAGGAAAACAAAAAGAAGAAACCATGATCAACTAGATCTTCTGAGGGGAGTACTTCTGCTTTGAAGCAACTAGATTATTTGTAAAGCATTATTGCATTGTTGCAATAGGAAGAATAGAAAATCTCTGAGCACCTCTAACTCCTTCTAAAAGGTACCTGATACTCGAGCAGGAGCAGTAAGCAAATGTGAAAGGCAAAGCTGGCCTAAAGGCAAATCCAACTTGAGCACAACAACAAGAAGACTAAGCCTTGGACCAGTGGCAATAGGACTGACCTGAACCAGGGACTAGAAAATTAACTGGGGAACTGGAAAGGGGTCAAAGTGGTCCCAAGCCAGTAGAACCATTTGAATCACAGAAGAAACAAACACAAATCACCTCTGAAAGAGCCTCCTCAGTTTAGGACTCTAGGTTTTTCACAAAATATGAGCTCATGATCACATGACAAATGAACCCACTCAAGTGAGAATTAACAGAAAAAGAAACAACATATTCTGACTTTCAAGGTTTTCATAAATTGGAAATATTAACTTGAATATAAAATAACTATGCATGAAAAGCATACAGAAAAACACACAGAATGACACAAATGAACCAGCTGACCAAGAACATTAGAAAAATAATTAAACTGTTAAAAATGAATGTCATAATTATTAATATTTTTAAAAGAATGAGTTAAATAGCATCTTAGAACCAAAGAAAGAATTAAGGAACTGGCACAAAATCTGCAGAAGTCACCTAGAATGTAGCATAAAGAGATAAGAAGATAGAAAATATTAATGAGAGATTAAGCAGTATGATGGATAGAAAGAATAAGAAAGTTTAATAATGTCTAAATAGAGTCTAAAAAGTAAAGAATAGTGAGATTGGAGGAGAGGCAAGTTTTACAAAATTGTGGCTGAGTATTTTCTGCAACTAAACTGAGGACATGAATCCACAGATAAAGGAAGTAGAAAGAATACCAAGCTGGGCAAGTAAAAAGATATTCACATCTAGACACAAAGTAATAAAACTGCAGAACACCAAAGACAAAGCAAACCTAACATCAGAAAAGAGAGAAGACCTACAAAGAAAGCAATTGGACTGACAGCAGAATTCTTAACAGTAAAACTGGAATCCAGGAGATGAAATGGAAATTTCCTCTTAAGTAAAAATGAAAATAATGAAAACTTTCCCTCAAAGTACTGAAAAGAAATAACTGTCAAACTAGAAATGTACCTAAGAAAACTGTTTCCTGAGCAAGGGCAAATAGAGATATTTTCAGATTTAAAAAGCAAAACAAAACTAAGATATTTCACAACCAAAAGACCTACTCTAAAGGAACTTCTAAAGGCTGGATTTTACACAGAAGGAATGTAATCCCAGGAGGAAGATCTGAGGTGCAAAAAGAAAAGATCTGATGAGTGTGTATAAATGCATAAATATTCTGTGTAAAATAATAGTCTAATTTGTGAAGTTAAAAATAAGAACCAAAAGATTAGATGACATTAGCACATCAGTTGTGAGGTTAATCAGAACTAAAGAATTATAAGATTTCTGTAGTGTTTAGTGGCCTGTTAAGATAGAAACTTTAGCCTTTGTTCACATTCAATATACTCTCATGACAGTCAAGTGATCCTGTTAAAACACACGACAGATTTGGTCACTTTGTTTAAAAAACCTTGAAATAGGCTCCCATCTCCCTCCCAGGGTCTTTATTATGACCTACAAGTCTGTGAAGATCATCTGGTCACCTTCCTTCTATGTGACCTCATCTCCTACTAGTCTTCTTTAGACGCTCTGCTTCAGCTACATTGGCCTTCTCACTTGCTTGAGAAGCTCCCGCCTCTGGGTCTTTGCTCTGGCTTTCTTGCCACTTGATGTTTTTCCCCCCAGATATCTGTGCGGCTCAGTCCCTCATTCCCTTTTGGTCTTTATTTTTAAAAAAAAAATTGCTTTTTTTGTGAAGCCTTCCCTGGCCACACTAATTACCCTGCTTGCTAACACTTCATGCATACCCTGATGCTTTATCTTTTTCGTTTTAGTACTTATCGCCATTTCACATCTCATATATTTTACTAATATGTGTTGTTTATTTTCTACCTCCCCCACTGGAATGGAAGCTCCCTGAAGACAGGGATTTATGTGTTTAGTTACCAATGTATTTGTCCCTTAAATACTACCTGACACATACCAGATGCTCAATAAATATTTGTTGAATAAATAAATGAATGTTTCTTCTGGCTGCTTTCTGGAGAATGAATTGTAGAGGGGCAAGTGGGGAGTACGAAGACTATTAGGAGACATTTGCAGCTACAAAGTTAAGATATGATGGTGGAATCAAGAAGTGTGACACTAGTAGAACTAGAGCGAAGCATTGCGGTGTCCAGTCACAAATTAGTCCTTAGATTGATTCAGTTGATTGATTGAAACCTTAGAAAACTTCCAAATGCAAGTCTTTGATTGAACCTCCTATGACAGAAATCACTACCCCTCTAATTTCAATTTGGGATGGTTCTGATTATTTAAATTGCCTTTTCATTGAATTGTAACATATTACTTTGCAATTCCTGACCATTACTCTGATTTTACTTTGTATGATCTGCAATGGACCTCTTGTTTTTGCCTATTTGGCATTTACTCCTCCCTGTCAGGTATTCCATTTTTTCTTTGCAGAAACATTCCTGACCCATTTGTCTTTGCGGTTCAGATTCAAGGATGGGCATGTGAGCCACTCGGAGTCTCAGTGGCTAGCTTACATAGACGGACACATGATTCTGAGATACTGGGAAAAAGATGTTCTCTTTCTGCTAGAGAAACTTAGTAAAATGAAGGCCCAGAGCATCTTTGCTGCAGTGCTGAGAATGAACACAGAAGAATGCAGGGCTGAGAACGGAGGAGATCATTTCCAGATGACAGCATTGGAGCACCTGAATTGAGCCATGCCTCAGTCTACTCTTGGTCTTTTCAACTGCAAGAGCCAGAAAATTCTTCTTTTTGCTTCGTCATTTCACTTTCCTTTCCGCTTAAATTGAAAGGGCTCCTGATTTATACAGGACCATAAAGAAGACATACTTTTTCCTCTCACATCTTACCACTTCCAGTATTTAAAGTTAGCTGTCCTGTCTCTCTGTGCCTTCCCCTGACACCTCGGAATTGCAGGGTGAAGGGTCAGTTAGCTCAGCCCAAGTGTCAGTTAGCTCTGATATTCAGTGAGTGACTAAGGGATCAGAAATTTCCTGATTCAGTACATTCTTTTTACTATGCTATACTCTTTTACTTCTTTCTCACCTCCCATCTCTGATCCAGCTAGCCTCAAATGATGTGTTTTGTAAGTTATTGTTC